CACAGTGATGTAGAAAAAAAAAAGAAAGAAAGAAAGAGAAAGAACAACAATTAGCTATACAAAAAAAAAAACAAAGAAAGAACATGAATGCCATCAATCGAAGATCTTTCAAGATATATTTTTGCGTTTTTAAGCAACAAACAAACACATACATGCAGCATTCCATGTCACTGTTCGTTTAAATGCAGACGGAGACGACTAAAAAGAAGAAAAAGAGAGAAAACTGCGCATACACACACATTTATATATATATAGAAATACACATACACAACAAAAGATAGGAGAGAAGTAAAAGATGAATTCATCACAGTTGAGAGACGGGGAATCGAATGTCGCGGGCGCATATGAGAAAATTATATGTCTAAGTGATGATGAAATATTTCGTAGAAAAATATACATATAAAGAAATACTTTGATTCAAATAGCGGGTGATGATGTAGTAGACATCTGATTTGATTTTCAACTATGTAGAAGAAATTTTCGTTTGGTTCGACGTCGGCGCATAAACGCGACAATGGTGCGTCCACACTGTGGAATGTGTCGTGAAGACAGAGAGAGAGAAAGAGAGAGATAGAGAGGAAAGAGACAAATAAAACAAAAAAATGTTTTCAGAAATTGAAAAACCAAAGAAGAATAAAATGACAACCGGGTTGGCGATTGATTGAAAGTTAACTTTTAGTGTCTTCACTACGTATTAATCGCCGGTACATTTGTGAATTAATAAAACGTGGATAGGAATCTCGATGCATTAGTGTATAAATCTGTAGTTGGGCTTCATCGAATGTATGCGGAGATGGTTCAACCATATTTCGATTGATTACTTCGCGCACACGACTATCCAAACTTACCTAAAAAACAAGAAAACAGAAAATTTGTAATATGAAATGAAACTTTTCCAATGTTTCTTCTGTTTCCGCTATTTTCGGGTTTCTTTTCTTACCTCTTTAGGAGATAGAATAGATATGTAATCTTCATAGATTAATCTGGCTTTCTCTTCTATTATATCCGGATTTTGTTCATTTTTCAATGACTCACAGGACATCCAAAATAGAAAATTTTCTTCACTGTACTCAGATCGTAGGAATTCGCGAAAGTAATGACGACCCGCTAGAAAAAACAGAGAGAGAGAGAATGCAAATTGAATGTTAATAACAATGAACTCCTGTCATTTTTCATACGTACCAGCACTCATCATTAATTTGTCAAATGATTCTGACCAACTTTTAAGTTCGTCGAGAGATGGTCTAACATCAATAGAATTATTGGAGAAAGAAAAAGGAAAGTACCACTTACGGTTCACCTAAATCAATAGGTTCAACGGGCTGACGGCCTTCGTCGGTGCGCACAGTTAAACTAGAACAGAACAACAGGCAATAAATCAATATATTTTTAATGATTGATGATTAAATGAAGAGGCAGAATAGGAGCAATGAAGGAGGAAAAAACAAACGAGAAGAATTTTCTATATGTTGGTTACTTTTTTGGTCCGGCTAGTATGCGTCGAACGTTTTCCGGAAAAACAAAGACAAGATGTTCAAGAACACTTTTTCCGACTCCACGTGTTGATCGATGATCATCAAACGAAGTTGACTTATGTTTTATCGAGAGATTTCTTGTTGATGTTGCTCCTGCTCTGTCAATAGTTCCACTATCTGATTTAATTGAATGTTTATTTGCTATTGACATAGACGATGCAAGAAGAGATTTTTCATAAGTAATGTTTATTTCAGATGATGTTGACATAGGCGCTTTTTGTGGTGAATGATTATTAAATGTATGCAAAGAATTAATTGAATCATTTGTTAAAGTTGATGTTGAATGCGCCGCAGTAAGGTTATTCATAGTACTTAATGTGATAGAAGATCGTTTCGTTGATGATGGATGAGACCGAGTATCAGATAATTTAGTTGATGTGTCTGTATCACAAGAGATGGATATTGTACTTAAGGTGGCAGAATTGGAACGTTGTGGTCGACTTTTTTGTGACGCACTATTCTGTTTTCGAGAATTATCATTTTCACCACCGAGTTTGTCTGACGTCATGTGTTCAGGTACGACTTGTGTCATATCCGACGGAGCCGAAAGACTACTGGTAGGAATCGTTATTTCAAACGATTCCGGTTGCCAATGATGTGGCCATGAAACCAAACTTGAAAAATCATGTTGATGCGAAAAACATGATGCTGATGATGACGACGGCGGATGCTGCCCGGATTCCATGGTCCATCGTTGCCGTCGACAGGGAAAAAGCTATTATTAATTCTTCTCTTTCTCCTTCTATTTATGCGTATATGGGAGTGTGCGCCTTCGACAACGTTGAGATGACGATGATCGTAACAGTCAAAGCTTCGTCACTATTATCATTCTCACAGCCACCGGCAGAAACAACACAAAAAAAAGAATGACATGTTCTTTTTCTCTCAATATTTTTTTCTCAATATCTAGCGCTCCCAACAAGAACATCACATCAAAGACAGGCCCGACGACGAACGCGAAAGACGTAGATCTACTCGGGTTTTTTCTCTGTTCTTACACTCTCGTCCGCTTGCGTTTCTTCTTGTTCACTAACGTGATTTAGCTAACAACATGTCTGGAATAGAAAAAATTTGACGACAAAATACGGACGCACAACGTCGACGTTGAACGTTTTCTTTCTTTCCTTTATTTCTATCACTAACGATGTAGCTCGGAAGAAGACGCTTAGTACAAGAGAAAAAAGAAAGAAGAACAAGAATAAGAACAGGCGACAGCAGGAAAAAAAGAGAAAGGATAGTTATATCTCTAATCGGATTAGCAATGAACAGGGGAAGAAGAAAGAAGCGTTTCGTTTTCGCTCGTCAAATTGATATCTATATTAGAAAAGAAAAGAAAAGAAGAAATCTCAGCATTACAGAGAGTACAATATATAGATATAAGCGCTTCATTATCGAATTATACAGTACAATAAAAGACTACTTCCATATAATTCCCAATAGAAATCCAAAAGAGAGCTTTCTTACTTAAGAAATGAATGAAGTACAACTAAAGTTGACTTCCAAAATAGGCAAATAAAAATCAATTAATAAGAATAATAATAAAAGCAAACGAACAATTATAGATCATCTTTCCGAAACGGAAATGATATTTAACGAGCGTGGGTCTCTTCGTAGTTGTTATTTTTCCGAAAAATACAAAGCAGCATCGAACATAGCCTAGTTGGTCATGTCTAGGAAAAGAATAAGAACGAGAAGACATACTTTTGGCGACGTCGTATGGAACCGAGTGGGTTAAATTTGATATTTTTAATCATGTTCTTTCTTTTTCGCATGCACATGCAAACTATGAAACACACAGATTCGCCACGGAAAGTCGAGAGGAGTAGGGGACCAGAGTTTTGATATGAATCAGTGTGTAGTGGTGCTGACTGTCAATATGTGATGACGAAGAGACCCACGTCTAAAGTGAGACATATACAGAAGACAACAAAAAAACATGGACGAGTGTGTACAGATCGATAGATAGGTGCAGAGATGAAACGATGGATAGAAAGGTATTCGAATTTTCTGCGCAACGCATTCGTGTTTCGAAAGAAAGTGATATATGTATGTGTACGAGCGGATGATAATAATAATCGAAATAAACTTCTTTTGTACATACCACGAACAGGAACAACAGCAACACCAGCAAAAACAACAGGCTTTTGAGGCTTGATCACTATGAGATGGAGAAGAGTTCAATGGTTCTTGTTGTTGATTCGAAGGTATATTTGAAGGTGTTGGTTGTTGGCGGCGCGATCGGTTACTGTCGAAAATTGATGAGTTTTCTTGATTCGATTGGCGTGTGCTCATAATCTAAGAAAGAAGACGAAGAAGGAATGAAAATGAGAGGAAGTTGTTGGTTGTTCTTTTGAGTAGTAAGTCATTCGCTATGACTTTTTTGATTTCTTACTTTATGCAAACAGTTTTTTTGCAATTCTTCGACTTGACCGACAAAAGCCTCTATGAGCCGGAAAAGGGTGTTGGCAGCTGAACAAATCAGCACCGAATAAGGCGGTGAAGATAAATAAGAATAGCAGCGACAATGTTGCGCTGCTAATGTTGATAATGATGTACTTGACAATGAACTGAGTAATTTTATATTCGTTCTAAAATGAAAAGAAAAAAAAACGCAAAATCGAAATGTTGATCACGAAAATCTCATATTCAACGACTTATTTGTATCATCGAAAAGAACAAATAAGAAGGAAAGAAAGAAATAATAACTTCACACATATATTATAATCTTTTCTTGTTTAGCATCCTGAGTAAGAAGAGTGATCAACAGTGTTATTCTAGATCTCATATTTTCTCATTGTCTCTTCTTTTCTTTTCCTTTCTCTTCTTCGTCTGTTTTAATATGAGAAAAGAAAATCTTTACAAGACTTTCTTTCTCTTAGATAGATAGATAGATCGATAAGAATAACTGTCTCTCTGTCTATCTATATGTGTTTAAAAAAAACAGACATTAAAAGAAACATTTTAATGTGATCGAACGACTTGTTAGTTAATATCATTCTAAGATTACTTGACTCCAATTTTTTCTCTCTCGTTTTTCTTCCTTTTTTCTCTTAAATCACACATATACACCTATTCGAATCCGCGTCATCTGGATGTATACACACGCACACGTTTGTAGGATATGAAGTGTAAATTTACTTTAATATTAGAGAAAAACATGGTGTGATATTTCACACAAGTTAATAGTTTAAACTGAATTGTTTTTCTTTTAATAAAACGAGAGTTCTTTTTTTTTCTTTCATCTGAAGTCTTCCGGTATAGAAAACGAAAAATCCCAAGATAGATTTCTATGAAATTATCATACCTAATTACTGGGCATATCAATAGTTGAGATGTCTCTTTGTAAATGACGAACATAATACGACGATCGTCTTCGTTGATTGTTAGCGTTCATCGAGACGTCTAGAATAGAAGTGGATTGCTTTCAGGATTTTCTTTTTAAAATAGATGGCAAACATGAATTGTTCATGTAGAAAAATTTCCTAAAAATATGCACGGTTTTGCCTTTTCAAAACTTACCATGTAGCAGAAAAAGAAAGAGAAATGAACAATGGCACAGGCAGATTGCAAACTTGAACGATTAAAAAGAGTCTTATATAAGTGCCGATATATCTATCTATAAAATCAAGAGAATAGTCGACAGATACTGGTAATCATCTAGAACAAGAGAAAAGCTTCATATGAAATGCAAACTCAATCCGATGTGGTATGTCGTGTCAGAGTTCTCGTTAGATTCAGGTTACCTATATGTTCGTAAGAGTGTAGTTTAGTAAGTAAATTCTTTGCACCATCGTCAGCATCATTTATTGTTATAGTACCAGTAATAATCGTGAACAGAACAAACACACAGACACGTCGACATAGACAAGAAGGAATGGGAAATTGAAGAAAGAGAAGGAAGACGAAGAAAAAGGCGACGATGATGATGATGATGATGCGCTTCTCCTATCATCTCTTCCTATCCGAAAATCCCAGCAGTCAGTTAGCAATTATCTTGAATATTATAGAAAAATATAGTCAGATATATGTGGCCCAGGAGTCCGCTCATCAATCAGAAGGCGTGACAACTATCATTGTCATTATCATTAAGCAAATGGGCAAATAATATAGATAAAATATTAAAAAAATGTTTCTTTTTATATCTGTTTAGAATGTCTCACTGCAGAGGAAGTTATCGTTTATTGTTTTTAAGTTCCGTGACTTGATCAATCTAGTAATTCGTTATCGAATGATGGAAAGAAAAAAAAGAGAAAAGATTAATTTAGTTTTTCTCCTTCCTATTCTTCTTTTCTCTGTGGACATGAAAAACTGTGTGTATGTGTGTTTCAATAAAGTAACACATACATATTCTATTAGACAGTTAAGACTCTGTTCGTTTGGCATTGGTGACATTTGCCAGTTATTTCTAATAGTAATCTTGCTGATTGAACCAATTGATCTATCTTTTCTTCGAGATAATCTAATTAATCAATGGATAGATTTCTCACTGACATAATTCTCTTGTTGATTAGCACTACTTTCGAAAACACACTACGTCAAACTTGTTCTACCTTACTTACTGAAACAATAATGTTCATTCTTTTTTTTTCCTATTTTTTTTTCTTTCTTTTTTTCTCATTAAACAAATGGGTAAGCAAGCGAATATCATGGAGGAAAAAACGAGAGACAGTACCGTCAAGTAATTAGTCGAGAGGAGAGACTTCGTTTCTTTGTTGTTTTCTCTTTATTCGCTCTTGCATTCTTTCCTCTTTTTTTCTCTTTTGCTTTCCCTTAGTATTTCAATCAGACAAAACAGTTAAAGCAAGAAGCATGAGCCCACCTGCTGAAGTACAAAAGAATGAAAAGAGAAAGACAACTATCTAGTTGATGACGGAGACGACGATTCAGCTGAGAATGAAGATGTTGACTACAGTTTCTCAAAATGAAAAAGAAAAAAAATAAGACCAACGAAACATGCCACACACACATATATATATATACATCGAGTTAGGCAACGTAGATTTCAACTCGAACATGATCATCTCAAATTTCTCGAGATATTAAATTTAACACGCAATCTATAAACAATGATGATGACAACATTAAATTGAAAATGTCGACGAATGTAATATTAAATAGTTTGAAAGGACATTTTTCAACTAGTTGTTATCAAGGATGAACTTACTTTGATGCTTTCCCACATTTTTTTTTAATTTCTAAGTCAACACTTCTAGCAAAATACACATACTCCCACATGGCATTGATGATGCGCGAGATGGCAGCGTAGTCCGATCGACGATGTTCGGATAAAGAAGTAGTAGGAACAGGAAGAAAAGAAAGAAGAGTAGACGAGAATCTACCAGTTCTACTATCGTTCCTCAGGAATTTTTCCTCATCGGTTTCTAGCTGTTGTTATTGTTGTTTATGATTTTTTTGCAGGCGCTCTGGTCTTCTTCCTCTTCTTTTCTCTCGTTTTTTCCTGACTATGTGTGTTTATGCGATGAAGGAGGGGGTGGAGGTCTCCCTCGTCTATGCATCTTACCATCCATCGATCTATCGGCGCCGTCGTCATTCTCTCTTTCTTTTTCTTCTCTTTTGTTGCATACAATGAAAATTGACACGAGAAATTAGAAATGACGGAGGAACGATGAATACGATGTCGACGAAGAAGCAACAGCAGTAGCAGAAGAAGGAAAAGAAGAAGACAACACTGCTTTTCCCCTTCCATATTTTCCGCACCGTCTCTCTCTCTCTCTTTCTTTTTCTCCGTTTCTCAAGCTTTGAGTACGTGTATATGCGGAAAAACGCGTCGACAAACCCTATGAGTAAAACCAAGCTCGACTTGAATACACACAAAAAAAAACAGAAGAAAATTATAGGAAAGAAAGAGAGAATGGAAGTCGACTGACGTTGCCTTGTCATTTTGAATAAAATGTGAGAAGCAAGCAAGGGCCCATAGCTCAATTTGCTTGTGTTCTTTTTCTTCAATTCTCAGACGTTTGTCTAAGAGAAAGGAGAATGCGAGAGACAGAGAAGAAAAAACCAACATTCGACTATGCCAACCACAACACTTTCTCCTTCATTTAAAGGTTTAGAACGATAGCAAACTATCAACATTCGATGCCGATGGGAGATGGAATAGACGCAAGAGATGTTGTAATCTGTTATTAGTTTTCCTTTTCATTTCCGTTATAACGTGCATATATAGAAAAACGCCAGCTGTCTTCCATCTAACACATAGACACACACACATAAAGACAAAGGAAAAACAAAAAATATCATTCGTGTTTTGATGAAACAATCGATTTTTCCCATATAAAGTCATCTTTTGGTTTTCTACTACGAGTCGATGAGGTTAATGCAGATGTTGGCATTAATGTAGGCCGACATTCTTCCAAAGCAGATAAAGACAGTGGTGGATAACCTAAATCGACACAAAAGGGCACATACACAGGGTGCAGATCGAGTTTTCTCTTCACTCACTTTCACGATGCACATCGGAAGTCACGGCAAGATCAGCTCTTGATGAGATTTCCTCATCAGAGAACGATTCAATTGTTTTGGTTAAATCCGCACGATTTGTCGGTGGCAATGATAAATTCGCGTGCGATTGGAAATCTTTCAAAAATTTCACATGATACTTTCTATCTCTACACTTCACATGCATTGAACGTTGTTGATGATGAATTTGTTGATTAATCGATGAATCTTTCTCTCGCTGTGAACAGCTCGAATTCGTCTATGAAAACACATCGACAGAGAAGAAATGTTTTTCCTCATTTATCTGATTGATTACCACGAATGTTTCAGGGAAAAACTGCCTTAAGTGAAGATTTTCATTTAATTGTTTCAATGTTTTATTTGCATTGGCTGATTTGATTAAATTCGCTTTATGTTCATTGAGTTTAGACGAATGGAATAATAAATGAGCCTAAAACATAAAGTCCTATTTACGACATAAATTATTCGCTTCGAAAACATTTCTCTCAGCAGTATTTCCATTTTATTTTTCTTAATAATAAATCTGACATATTTTTCTCTCATCTACCTGTAATGGATGTGACGCTGCTACCGACGGCGACTTGAAACAATAATCCACGGCATTGATGTCTGCGTCAGTACGTGCGATTTGTTCAATTTCATCTCGATCACATGGTTTGCGTGCAATTTGACCTCGAATAAATGCCTGATAGGATGCCTAGACATGAATATATTTCTCATGCAAAGTGTATTTTGGTAACAAAATAACCAAATCAAGGCGTGCATGTTAAGTGAAAGAATAAGCAACTTAAAAAAAGGGAGCATACTTCAAGATCGAGTCGAGAAAGCGACTGCGTTATGGTCTGATAATATTCCATCGAACGCAGTCGCTGAAAGTGTTTATCACGTTGATCATTATTAACTACAATAGAATGTTATGATTAAATCACAGAACATCTTTTCAAAAGAACATCATACACATATGTTTATTAGATATTCGTGTTAGCAACTTCGAGTCCAAATGAGATCGGAAATAAAATTTGTCCTCTTTTTTTTTCCCTTTAATCTATAGAAAATCTATTTCGCACGAATTGATTCTGTTTCCTCTAATTAATATAAACATTCTTTTTTCGTCTAGATTAGCCTCAAGCGAGCGACTCGTAATCTGTGTCTATTTGTGGAAAGATAGAATTCCACATTATCCCCTACTGTTGTGGATGCACCACACTCGCCAACAAAATTGTTCCATCATGTAAAAAACGTTCCATGACACGTTTTCATTTTCAGATTAACTTTGATGAGAAGAAAACAAAGAATATGATTATTATTCTAGTGAAAAAAACAGGATATCCGCTCGTAATTCTGATGAATGACATAAACTCAGGTCGAATAGAAAGAGCACAGATAAATTTGGACTTGATAGAACAAGAGGTTAGAGGAACTCAATGCTTCCGAATTTTTACACGAAAAGAGAAGATGTTAGCATCAGACGATGAAATCAGTATGGTGTCAATCGACTTTCTTACCATTCAAAAGATCTTCAAGTGTTAAATGCCGTCTCGGTTCGAATGGTTTAGGGTTAACGAAACCGATCGCTGTTTTAGGATCAAATACAGTCAGGAGCTTGTCTAGTATATCTTTTTTATATTCTGGTATATCTTCCTATTGAAAACAAAATGCAGACATCGACAAAACATTAGTGTTTTTAGTTAAAAAAACAAAGAAAATTGCCTGTATTTCAAAATCATGGTCATTCGTCGACATGTTGTTTTCGTCAGTCAATTCGATCAAAACATGCCCGTAAGCCATCACTGCTAATCAGTCGTTTCTATCGCAACTGACATTTCGTTTGGGCACGAAATTTAACGACATCTGCTATTCGAGTATGAACCAATTCCAATCGAAGATGTAATACAACAAAGAACGCCGCGAAAAGAACAAAAGCCAGTATCTTCTTCTCAGTTACACTATTGTTATTTCTTCGCTCGAATCGATCGAATTGAACGTATAAACTGACATAGTTCTTTCTATTTCAGAGTGACAAGGACAGTTTTTTTTCTAGTGTGGTGTCGCACCTCGATATTCGTTCCTTTCTTTCTTATCCAGAGATTTACGAACGAACTTTGTGTTCGTCACAGATATACACGACTGAATATACGTAGAAGAGAAGAACAAAGAGATACTGACAAATACCATCTTGTCTTTTCATAGTTTCTGTAAAAAAAACCAGAGATCTTTTAGATTTAAAACAAACAAATAGAACATGGATATTGCTCAACAAGTTCCACAACATCCGCGAGTTCGTGATGTTCTCGCTGATCAATGTCAACGATTATTTTTTGAATATCTTGAAAGGTAAACTACAATAGTTCTTGTCAAATATTCGTTTTCAAGCCTGTCAATTGTTTAGTTTCGACGACAGCGAAAAGAAAACGATGATCGATGAATTGTGTCAACCACAACGTTCCACGGTATTGATTAATTATCGACACTTATCTAATTACAACGATCGCTTGGCACGAGTTATTCAAGATGAATACTACCGGTAAGATTTTGATTGCTAAGCTGAGCGATTTCCAATTCAACTTTTCCTATTCGTAGACTCTTACCAGCATTGTCGCGTGGTTTAAAACAATTCTTTCGTGAACACCTACCCAAACTTGAAATGGAAACAGAAAAACTCGAGCGATTCAAACGAACGGTTTTAAGTGACAAGGAACTTTATGTTGCATTTAGTGATGTACAAATGCGATACAAGTACGTAGTTCATCATTTGACAACACCAGCTATATCTCGATGATCTTACATTGAATTCGATGTATATGATAATTTAGACTTCGTAATTTAAATACATCAAAAATGGGCATGTTAATTCGTATAACTGGTCAAGTCATTCGTACATATCCTGTCCATCCGGAATTAGTTTCGGCGACATTCATTTGCGCGGATTGTCAAATGGTTTGTCCGGACGTCGAACAACAATTTCGCTTCACTCAACCATTGATGTGCCGAAATCCTGTGTGTAATAATCGTGTTCATTTTACACTGGACTTATCACGTTCGCGTTTCGTTGACTTCCAAAAAGTCCGTATCCAAGAAAGTCAAGCAGAGTTACCTCATGGAAATATTCCGCGTTGTCTTGACATCATCATGCGTAACGAATGTGTTGAACAAGCTAAACCAGGTGATCGATGTGATTTCATTGGCACATTGATCGTTCTACCGGATGTTAGTCAGCTGTCAATGCCTGGTGTTCGAGCTGAAAGTGCGCAACGTACTACACAAGGTTCAGATGACAAAGGTTACAGCGCTGAAGGTGTACGCGGTTTAAAAGCGCTCGGTGTCCGTGACTTAACATATCATCTAGCGTTTCTTGCTTGTCATATAACACCAGCCGAACAAACCAATGTCGAAACATTGTTAACTTCGGACTCGAAGAAGAAACGTATTGAAACAATGATGTCCGACAAGAATCTGTTTGCCAATATGCGCACAAGTCTTTTCCCAACTATCTACGGTAACGATGAAATTAAGTCTGGTATTTTGCTGATGCTGTTTGGTGGTGTGCCAAAACGAACTATTGAAAAAACAACTCTGCGTGGTGATATCAACATTTGCATCGTGGGTGATCCGTCAACAGCAAAATCACAATTTCTGAAGTGAGATACTATGATTGAAGTCTAACTTTATTATGAATGTTTGCTTTTTAGACAAGTATCAGAATTCTCACCACGCGCTGTTTATACTAGTGGTAAAGCGTCGACAGCGGCTGGTTTGACTGCTGCTGTTGTGAAAGATGAAGAATCCAGTGAATTCGTCATTGAAGCTGGTGCATTGATGCTTGCCGATAATGTATAACTTTATTTCTTTTCTTTTCATTGAATCAATACGAACTAAATTTAGGGTGTTTGCTGCATCGATGAATTCGATAAAATGGATCCCAAAGATCAAGTTGCTATTCACGAAGCAATGGAACAACAAACGATCAGTATTACAAAAGCAGGCATTAAAGCAACACTCAATGCACGAACATCAATCTTAGCAGCAGCAAATCCCATTGCTGGACGTTATGATAAAACACGTTCATTACGACACAATGTGAATATGACTGCGCCTATTATGTAAGTTACATTTATACAAAACGAGATTCTTTCTTACAAAACGGAGTTTTTCTCGGATTCTAGGTCACGTTTCGATTTGTTCTTTATTGTCATCGATGAATGCAATGATGTGACTGATTATAATATTGCCGAACGTATTATTGACTTACATACGTCCGGAACTCGTTCGACGATTCCTTCACTTGTAACAACTTACACTTTCAACGATATTCGAGATTATATCACTTATACTAAAGCAGCTGTACAGCCGAAATTGACGCCAGCTGCCAAGGAACACATTATCGCGCTCTACAAACAATTGCGTCTACGTGAATCCTCATCTTCAAGTACTGGCCGTGTCTCATCGTCCTCGACACCGATAACTGTCCGTCAATTGGAGAGTTTGATTCGTTTATCGGAAGCAATTGCTAAAATGTACTGTCAAGAAGACATTGATATAAAACACGTTCAAGAAGCTTATCGACTCTTAAGTAAAGCAATTATTCATGTTGATCAACCAGATATTGATTTGAATGAATATAATCGACCAACGACTACAACCGAAGAGCCTATGGAAGAAGAAGTTCAAGAAACAACAAAAGATGAAATGAAGATATCTGTTGATGAATATAAACGTTTAACGAACATGATGGTTTATCAATTACGTAAAATGGATGAAGAACAAGAAGCAGAAAGTCAATCTAGTGGTACGAGTGTTGTTATGCCTGGTGTTAAACGTTGCGAACTTATCAATTGGGTGCTCGAGCAATTAGCTGATGAGATCAATAGTCTTGACGAGTTAGCACGCAAAAAAGCGACATTAGATAAAATTATCGATCGTCTTGTGCATGTTGACGAAATTCTCATTCAACTTGATAAACGTACCGTTAGTCAATTTGGTATGACAACAGAAGTGAAAGAAACTGCAAGTGCCGAAGAAGAACAAGAAGATGAAGATCCCGAAGGAAATAATCTTTACTTAATTGTTCATCCCAACTATGTTGCTGAAGATCAATAGATTCAAAAGCATTAACAGACAGACGCATTTACATATATAGATCATTCTCTTATTTTTCTGTACAATTTGAATACAACTATATTTTTTTCTCAATAGAATAAATCAATAAAAATTGTGGGGTAGAAAGATGTGAGATAAATCAGTCTTCATGCCGATCGGCTGGATAGATGTCGCTTTATTCAAAAACCACAATGTCTGACTATATATATACTAGAGATTCTATAAACCAATCAGAAGACGCTGGAATGTTATTGCTCATGTTGGATGTCATTTCTCCCTAATAGAGTTATTTAAATTGACAACAACATTTTGGATTGAGCACACTTTTTAACTCGTTGACATGTCTTTACTCGATCAGAACTGGGGTGGTTCAGGCGGTGGTGATGAAGACGCACTCGATGATAATCAACAGGGTAGACAAGTAAAATGAAATCGATCATTGAAAAACGAAAAGAAAATTGATTTTCTCTTAGATTTTAACATCACGTGATGGTACACTAATGCTAATTGAATGTGCATCGGAAATGTTTGAATCACTAGCAAATGCTATGAACACCGCGTCATCAAATAGTGATGATGACGATGATCGAGAATTAACAACAGGATTTCAAGTCGTCATGCGTGCTTGTCAAAGATTCTACCAATCGAAAATAATATCAAACGACAAAGATCTCAGTGGAATTATTCTCTACGGCACTGAGAAGAATAAAAATGCATTCGATTTCAACCATATCTATATCTTACACGAATTAGCTCAACCATCAGCTGAGCGTATCATTCAGTTAGAAAATTTGTCGAAGAAAGATACGTTTCAAAAGACTTACAAGGATCTGTTTGGTTCAACACAATCCAAAGGTTATTCTTTAAATGAAGCACTATGGACATGTTCAAATCTATTTTCTAATTCTCCTCAACGCTTAACTATTAAACGAGTGTTTATATTTACATGTAATGATCAGCCGCATGCCTCAAATCTTACCTTAGAACGACAAGCTAAGCAACGTGCGAAGGACTTAAACGATGTTGGAATACAAGTCGAAGTGTTTCCCATCCTAACTGAAACGCGAACGACATTCGATTACAAGAAATTCTTTCAAGATGTTCTTATGTTAAGTGATGATGAGTTAGAATTACGAAACAGTCAAGCACCAACCGGAAGATTGAATGAACTATTAAAATTAGTCTATTCAAAAGAACATAAGAAACGTGCTTACTGTACAGTACCATTTTCGTTAGGAACAGCTTCAGATGGAACACCATTGCAACTGTCAGTCTCGGTGTTCAATATGGTAAGTAATTTGGATGGGTTCTCTAACGAGAAATTGCCATGTTCAATTATAGGTTCGTCCATGCACTAAACCGTCCAAAATTAAATTAGATATGAAAACAAACATGGAAACAAAAACAGTAACAAAACATTACCTTCCCGAAACAGGTTCGTAGTCATCTATGCTTTGCAAGGTCAGTTTTTGCCAATTTGAGTTTTGTCATTATATTTCTAGCGGAGATTCTTATGCCGTCCGATATACAATACGGTATCGATGTTTCAAATCGTCGTGTCCTGTTTGATGGCGATGAAATCAAAGCAATCAAGAAGTTTAGTGATCCCGGTTTTGAAATTCTCGGTTTCAAAAATCTATCTTGTTTATTACCACATCATTATGTGAAACCCGGTCATTTTATCTATCCCGATGAGAAATACGTAGAGGGAAGTGCATGTCTATTCAACGCGTTATTGAAGAAGTGTTTAGAAAAACAAATGTTTATCCTGTGTCAGTTTACTGCTCGTCGGAGCACTCCACCACGTCTGGGTAAACTCAGAACTCGTATGTAATCATTGTAATGTGAGTTTTCTTCGTTATCTCTAGTGGCGCTCATTCCTCAAGCGGAAGAAGTCAATAAAAAGGATCCCTCTGATCGTATCGCATCCAATGGTTTTCATGTGCACTATTTACCTTATGCTGATGACATTCGAACGTTGCCGAAGAATGATGTAGCGCGCGTGCCGGATGAACAAGTTGACGTCTTTAAAAACGTCATACGTAATTTGAAATTTAAATATCGTTCTGATAAATTTGAAAATCCCGCACTGCAAACACTTTGGCGAAATATCGAAGCAGCAGCATTGAATAAGGACAAACCCGAAGAATTCGTCGATCTCACAATCCCCAATGAAGAAAATCAGAATGAAAAAGTTGGCTCATATATAACAGAAATAAAACAAATGTTTTTTCCACCCGATTATGTTATGGGTGTTACCAAACGATCCTCAACTAAACGGAAGGTACGTGTAATGCGCTCGCTGCATTCTAGAGAAATGCAATGTCGTGGTCTACTAAAAACAACTAAAGACATAGCACAATCTTAGTCACTGCTATTTAATTATAACTACTAAAAATAGGTGTAAACTACTTTGGTCTTTAGGCTGACTCGGCTGCTACTTCGTCGAGTACAAAAAGAAGCAAGTCGGATGAGAATGTTGATGTGGAAGCTGCTGCACGCAATAATTTGGTATGAAGCAAAGAAATAGATGAAAGTATGAGTAGTCGTTAATCTTTCTTCTTTCTATTTTAGTTACCGAAATTAACTGTGCCAATATTAAAGGATTATTGTAAGGAGAAGAATTTGAAAGCTACAGGTACAAAAAAGCAAGACTTGATTGATGCAATAGAACAATATCTCTCTATTGCAACATAAAATACGCTTTGTTGCTGACCAGTGAGTATCAATAGACATCATTGTTTTAATCAAATGAATATAAAATCTGTGTTTTTTAATGAAATAAAGAATATATTATTTTATTTTATTCAAAGTCCCGTCTTTTTTTTTCTTTTGATCCGCATACATTTTTACACTCACATTCCGATGAGATAATAATCGCACGTAGATTAAGAAGATGAATATCTCATTTTTACACTTGTATTAATCTCGAAACGAGAGAATGTGATTAATGAAAGAAAAAAAATGCACTTAAGTGATAATAACATCAAGTAATCTTTTGATCATTGCTATATAATCATACTGCTATCGGGGAGATTCTTTGTGTGTGCGTGTGCGTGTCGCCGCTTGATTCTTTTTTCCTTTTTTTCCTCCTTTGCTTTTATATTCTTTCTTCTTGCTTGCTTTACACTTTGAATTCAGATCTAATAATGTCTCACCAAACAAATTCATCAGCAGGATTAACAGGTACCGCGGATTCGAGTCTGTCGTCATCTGTTGGTGAACACCCAAATGCAATCACTAACCGGTATGCTAACAAAAGAAAACCATTGTTAACAAGACTATTTTTTATTCTTCGAACAGATTTTACACTTATGAACGTGTTGAAGAAATTGTCGGTTTTATACAAAAATTAGTAACAACAAAACCTGAAATAGCGATTATTTGTGGATCAGGTCTCGGCGGACTCGCAGAATTAGTTACCGACAAAATTGTTGTGCCGTACGCCGATATTCCACATTTTCCACGTTCGACAGGTGAGTCAGAAACAAAAGCGGAAGAACTCGAAATGCAATCTCTTCTTCGATGAAATCTAGTGGTGGGTCATCGTAGTAATCTCGTCTTTGGAAATTTAAATGGTCTTTATGTTGTTTGTATGCAAGGTCGCTTTCATCCTTATGAAGGATATACAACAGCAACGGTAAAGTTCTTTTCTTCGAATGCACTCGCTCATACATGAGTAATGAGAGGTATTCCGTTTCACTCAAATGATATTTATAGATTTATCTACATGTTATTAAAAGATTGATGATTACGAATAGGTTCTCATAAGTTATTTCCTCCTCTTACTACTTACGATAATCACAAATAAATACTAGGGTGTTAATTCTGATGATCTAATCAAAATAGAGATTGCTATTGGCTTTTTAGTGTGCTTTTCCCGTACGAGTCATGCGGATGCTCGGTGCGCATACGCTGATCGTTACTTGGTATGTTATTATCTAATATCATATTACGTTTCTACCATTCGAAATATCGTTCTTAAGTGCTGCGGGTGGTGTGAATAAAGGCTTTAGCGTTGGGGATATTATGTTAATCAAAGATCATTTAAACTTTCCGAACTTAGCTGGTAATAATCCTCTAATTGGTCATAATGACGAACGGTAAATAAACGTCGAAGTGTTCTGTCTAGTTTAATCATAACTTTTCTCTTCAATACTTTAGATTCGGTAGGATATTTAACTGGGTAAACACGTTCTAGATATCATTTGTTTCCAGGACCGCGTTTTCCGCCTGTTGGTCATGCATACGATCGTGCTTACTTATTAAAAATGAAAGAAGTGGCTAAGAAACATAATGTTGAATTGCGCGAAGGAGTCTACTGTGGATTAGGTATTTCAAATTGCTTTTTTTATGTTTATAGTAGAAATATCTACATATTGAAATTTTTTTAAATGTAACCTTAGGTGGACCGTGTTATGAAACCATCGCCGAAATTAACATGCTCCGAATACTCGGCGGTGACGCTGTCGGTAAGTAAAAGCATTTCCTGTCGATTCCGCATTGCTTAATACTTGCTGCAGGCATGTCTACCGTTCACGAAGTGACATTGGCTGCTCATTGTGGTTTTCGCACACTTGGTCTGGCATTAATAACAAATAAATGTCTGTCGGATTACAATACAACATATGAACCTGTGCACGAAGATGTCATTCGTATAAGTGAATTGAAAGCCAATGAATTACAACAGTTGATCTTCGATTTCGTTGGTTTTATTAAAGATCATCGTACATAGATGAATCTGTCGCAGGCAAAGAACAAATAAAAAACATTTCATTCCTTTTGATTTCTTTTTTTTCCTGTTGCCGTCCTTCATTACATCCTTTTCTTCACTTGATTCTCAACAGCCGGTGTCAGACCAATATTCGTGTTTGAAGTTTTTCTCTCTTTGTAACGCTATTGTCTTTGTGAATATCTATGTGAAACAAACATACAAACAGGAAACAAGTCACAATTTGTTACTCTCTTTAGATGTAGAAAAGACTCATGTCCGATCAATTAACTCACGGTAGATTGATGATCTTTGATCTGCTGTCGAATTTCTCTTCATAACGTTTTTCAGTGAAATCTGTGTTTCATAAACGATTTGCACATCTTTCATCTGCAATTACCAATCGGTTATGGCTAAATGCACATACCAATTATGATTGTGATGTTTTATTGACCTTTCCGGCACGGGTCGATGACAATGTCATCGTTTGGTTTCTGGAGAAATTCCTTCAACTTGAACCTGATGTTCGCATATCAATTAAATATCATTTCACTACAGGTAAATTCAGCGGCTCTCTTCAGTTGTAGTCATGATCGGTTATATAGGTGTTTATGGGTTTTATTTAACTTTTACTTACGAACGGTAAGAGTTTGATCGAAGAAATTCTTTCCATTTTTGTGTGTGTGCGTGAAGGATTTTGAAGGGTGCTGACGCTCTTCAATTAGAAAAACCGATTAAACAAGAATTTGGCGGCGGTTATCAAATATTCTTGTTCGACGAATTAGAATTTTATCAAGGTAAAGGAATATATGACTCTCGTCTTCAGTGCAATTTCTGTGTGCATATTTTCACATCCAGGTGTCGAAGATGAAGATAAGTTCTTTAGCACTCAAGAGAGGCAATCTATTGTTCTTCATCTTCTTTATTCAATGAGAATGAATGAAACTCAACTTCTTAATGGAATTAAATTTAAAGTTGATCAATCATTAAGTAAACATCTGTGTTTCTATGAATTCCAATTGATAACACTAGGCATGCGTTATTTAGTTCAACGCGGTTTAGAGAAAAACGTAATTCGACAAATCATTCCGTTGCACAATAAAGCACAATTAAATCATTTGAGGGAGACATGGGTGTGGCCAAAGAATGTTTTCAAGCCGCAACCGATCGGTATGTCAAGACAACATTGAGACTAATTCGATCTAAATGATCGATTTTCAGAGGACATTCGACAATATTTCGGAGTGAAAATCGCACTCTATTTCTGTTGGTTAAGGTAAAGATAAAAAAAACGAATTTATTGATGTGTTCATATTCATTTTCGGTAGCTTTTATACAAAAGCACTCTGTCTACCGGCTGCTTATGGTGTTTATATTTGGTATCATACCGGACAAAGTCAGGTTGGAATCAACGCTCAGAATCAATACTTGTTTTAATGAATCGTTTAGGAACTTGATGATAAACTCTTTGTCATTAATTCGTTTTTAAATATCATTTGGGCTACGGGATTCTTGATCTTTTGGCGACGACGACAGGCTGAATTAGCTTATAAATGGAATACACTCGATATGGAACAACTAGAAGAAACGCGAGCGACATACAAAGGTGAATTACGACGATCACCCGTCACTGACAAATATGAGCCGTATTATCCTGTATGGAAGCGCGTAGCATTTCGCTGTTTGGTAACCATTCCACTATTAATGATCAACCTTGTTCTCGTTTCGATCTCTATTGTTCTTATCATCCGTTTTCAAAGCTGGATTGATCGACAATTAAAGGCAGGCCGATTACCATGTAAGAGTACCATTTTCAAACGATCTGTTTTTATTTACTTTCTTTTTCATTAGCATTAATGTCACTCACGGAATTATTTCCGAAGATATTATTAGCTCTAGTCACGACGATTTTCGATGATGTCTATAAACGTGTTTGCCGTTGGTTAACAGACAAAGGTACGAAGATATTCAAGAAAATCCTCGATTGACTCGCCCATTCTCTTAGAAAATTATCGAGAGCAACGCGTACATGACAATCAAATGATAGCAAAAATGTTTGCTGTAAGTTCCACATTCACTTCGGAAAGGTCTCCGTTGATCGCGATTTGTTCTGTACAGTGTGCATCTATCAATTCCTACTTGGGCGTGTTCTACATCGCCTTTTTCACACACAAATACATTCGATTATCTGACGTAAGTAACTAGAACGAAGAGGATCAATCCATCACTGATTTTTTTTCTACATTCAGCAATTGATAACCATTTTTGTTATAAAACAATTCTGGGATCATGTCAAGGTAAGTGAACATCGTGTCGAATTCATTTCATTTCAGACATTTTAGGAAGCAATCATTCCATACATTGTGTCAAATACACGTCTATCGGTATTGATTCAAATGAGTAAAAAGGAACACGATCGATATACCGAACGTGAAGAACTTAATAACCATTTGAAACGCATTCTCGACCAATGGAATACTTCCAAACAAACGAAAGTCATTGCATTCAATCCGTGTGATTCTCTTCCAAGTTTCGAAACTCTATCATTATCACAAGCTGAAATCGAATGTTTACAACCGAAATGGCAAGATTTGTACGAAGATTCTCTCGAATTAGTGGTTCAATTTGGTTATATTATATTCCTTTCGACATTATTTCCACTTGCAGCATTCTTCTCTTTGTTGAATAATATTCTCGAAATACGAACGGATGCATTTAAACTATGCATGATCTATCAGCGACCGTTTTCGCAACGTGTCAAAGATATTGGCCATTGGCAGGTAGAGAAAGATATTCCTACTTATCCGAATAAAAAGTTGCCTTTCTAAAGAAAATTATGGAATATATGATCGTTGCAGCGATTATCATTAATTGTATATTCTGTTCTATTCGCGGAGTCTTCCGCCGAATGGTGCCTGGTCTTCCATTCGCCGCGGAAATCTTCCTACTCGTTTGTATTGAGGTTTGTTAATTAAACTATTGGTTTGCACGGAGAACAATTCGATCGAACCTTTTAGCATTTATTGGTCTTGTTTTGCAAAACAATCCGATCAAATATTGAAAGTGTACCATATTGGGTGAGAGTTGAAAAAGCTAAAATGGAATATCGCCGACGAGAAGCATTGAAAGTAAGACATGAATTTGCTGTTGGTTTTCTCTGCATATCCGCATTTTAGAAACTGGAATGCGATGCTTTGCATAATCAATCTCATGGCAACGACGAATAGACAAAGAATTTAAAATGTATCTCTCAGTCATTTGTATATGATCTTCAAATAAATGAATCAATTTATTCCAGCTTCGTCTAAGAAAATGTAATAGATCTCTTTTGAAGATCAATGTTCGAGAATCACTTCGAATTTAGGATGTTAATTTCTTTCGTCGGATGTAGATTTGATCGAAGTAATGACACAGAGTTTGCTTTTCATAAAACAATCTTTTCAGACTGAAGAGCTCATTATATTTTTTGACAAGTTTCTTTTTGGTGAGATACAGTTTAGATAGATTACCGAACTCGACGGGCGAATTGACTTTCAATCTCTGCCAATGATGCACTTCGTTTGAATTGTTTTTTGTTTCCACTTCAAGTTGGTTGTGTAGATTTGTATATCGATGAGATACGTATTGAGAATGAGTACATTCATAGCGTTGTTGCGATTGAAATCTCATCGATTGCTGCAATCGATTGTTAGAAGCTTGGAGATAATGATAATATTTGCGCAAAAGATTCAGATCAGATTTTAACTGTTCGATGATTTTCGCTGAAACGACGCAAATGTTTCGTTTATAGTAACTATTGATACATACCTTTATTTCGATTTTGCTCAGTTAAACGTTTGATTCCGTTGTATAAGAATGGTAACTGATTGTTGACAATCGTGTGTTTTTCTCCAAGTAATTGCAGTACAAAACTTAACCGTTCGTACTCTTGTTGTAATTGCATGTTTTCATTGTTCAGGGAAGAGAATATCCCTTTCAAATCTTGATAACTATGTTCGGATTGTTGCAGATTGTCATTAAATATTTTTATTCTGGCTCTGGTTTTTTCTCCTTCGACTTGATACTGTTGTAATAGACCAGTTTCTTTCATAAGAATTCGATCGAAATCTTTGGTATGCGAAGTTAATTTAGAGCTGATCATTTTATAATAGGGAATTTTCGCTTCATTCTGTTTTAAACCCATCTCTAATTGACGATGGTTGATTGCGTGATGGGCGAGTTGTTGTTGATAATGTGATATTTCTTTTATTACTGGTCTTTCATCTGCTGAGAGCTTATGAATCTTTTGTGTATATGACAACACTTTCGTTTTGCTTTCATTCACTTTCCGATGTTGATTTTGAAGTTCAGCATGGATGATCGACTGGTAGTGTTCTAAATTTGATAATTCTTTGGTGACGAAACTAATCTGATGCTCATGGGAATGAATCTGATCATTTTGTCGATGGATTTGATTTGTTAGTTTATTGGTTTCGTTTTTGATTAGGTCAAGTCGCTGGTCATGAATTGTAACTACAAACTTTAATTGAACGAAATCTCTCAAATCAAGACAAGGAAGATTTACTGCTTTTTTGCAAAGTGTGCGTCAGTTCTTGCTGTTTTCTATGATCGGTTGTCAGTTGTCGATAGGAATACTGTAGATCTTTGAGATCATGTTTCGAATGGATAAGACTCGTTTTTAATAAGCGAGCTTTTATCATGGCTTGCTTGATTGTCTCGAGTATTTCTTGTTGATTGTTTGACATTTGAGTTTTTTCTTTATCAATAATTCGAATCTGATCGTGAAGCAGTTGCCGATGTTGCACAACTTGTATTTGTTCAAATTCCAATTGCTCAAGCTGCTGATCTTGCTGCTGAATCGATTGCAGTAGATTCGATAATTGACTTTTGTACTTTGTTCGACTGATCATCAGGAAGGTTAAGTCTTGTTTATATTTATTGAGTTTCACTTGATAAACAATTGTTGACTTGTGATGCATTTCAATATACGTTTGCACTTGAAAGATAAGCTTTAATATATGTTGAATCTCCTCGCTGATGGACTTATAATTGATTAGTAATGTTTGAACATCTTTTACGTTGGCGAGAAGATCATTGATCCGTCGAGTGGACTGCTCATGAGTGTAATCATTGATCTGTTGTTGTGTCTTGACTTTCGTGTTTGTTTCGTTGATATCCTGTGTCGTTTGTAGGATATCGGTACGAAATTGCTCAAGAGATATCTGAATTTCTTTCACTTTCAGCAATAAACTCGCGTGTTCTTTTTCGATCAAGGTTAAATTCGCTGTTTGCTCATCTTTTTCTAATTCAGTAAGATTGAGTAGCTTTTGCAAATCTTCGTAAACTAACTCTTGACTAATCGTGAGTCCTGTTACTGTTTCGAAGATGTGCCACAGACGCGATGTTGTAGCTCGGAGAGTCTTCAAAAAAAGAAATTAGAGCGAGCGTCTGAAAGAAATTCGAATATAAACTTGAACAGTATGCCATGTGTCTAGTTCTTTGCTTTTAACATTCGTTAAGATTTGATTCAGCTCGTGAAATTTCGTCTGGAATGTCTTCAACGTTCTCTGATCGATAGTACGAAGTTCATTCGCATAGTTAAGCTTTGTGTAATTTGCATCGAGGTCAGTTTTCAAGCGTTGGATTTCTTTGAGAAGAAAGTTCTGTGAATATTTCAATTGTTGACCTGAAGAGTTCAAATGATTATCCGAGTTTCACGCTTCTTTTCTTACAACAGACCAATCTGTTCGCTTTCATGAACTAAATGATTAATATCAACATCTTCGAATGAATCACTAATGCTCTTTAACTGTTTTATTTCATGAGAAAAGTCCTCCATGTGAATATTATATCTATCTAAAACGCGCGCAATCGAAAAGAATCGGAATCAATAGTCAATGCCGAAATATTTGAAAGCGTGAACCAATGTCCAAAGAGGGCCGATAAGAAGGAATTGCAGATCTTTGAAGAATGCTGGTTTCTTGCCTTCAATTTCGTGACCAACGAATTGTCCGATCCAAGCGAGAATGAAAATAATCAATGCCAAACGAAAAATTCGAACATGAGTCTTTTCCATCACGACCAACGATGTAATCACGAAAAAGAAGATGATCGTCATGGCAATTGCCAATGGAGGCGAAAGATTCCAATAGAAAGCCAAGATCGGTGCGAGTATAAGGGAGGGATTGACGAGTCCAACTTGACCAATGGAAATTGTATTACGAATATGTTTTGGTACAATCGGCAAACACCAAAGCATCGCGAAAAGTGTGAATGTTATTGTTGGCACACATATCTTATGTATGAGAATATTGATTGGATTTTGATGTGATAATGAATATTCGTCTAGCCAGGCAGTTAATTCTTTTCCAGGCATCTAGAATGAATCATAATTATTTAATTTTTCATTTTTTGTTTGATTATTATCGATCACATGAGAAGCATTTTTGTTGCCAGGAAGTTATTAGCATAGTAAAATAAAATCGTATAAGTGTTTATCTGACAAAAAAAAAAATCAAAAACCTATTTCAAAAATTAAAATTATTTCGTCGACCGCGTTTTGCTTTGGGTGTATTTCTGAAAGAGACAAATATCTCATTAAGTATTCGAACTTCGTCGCATGTCCTTCGCTTACTTCGCTTTATCTCCAGTCAAGTGTTGTTGTGGATCGTATTTCAGTGCTAAATCTCTTGCTTCTGGATGTCGTTCGATATAGGCCGCTTTTGCTTCTTCGTAAGCTAAATGCATTTCGTCCTGATGTAGCTTTACGACATCGTTCGCCTCTCCACATTTTTCGTTATTGTTAAAGTGATCATAGCCTTTTATCGGTTTACGACAAACATAACACATTGATGCGCCACACGTGCACGTCATTTTATTACAACCTAAATGAAGGCGATGTTTTCAAGTCAATAATGTGCGACTTATTCGTACCTTCGAGTTTATAAAATCGCCGATGACATCTATAACAAATTCGAATCATTGCTTCCGAAACGCGATTTTCGATAAAAGTCCGCATGTCTAATTCATCTTTTTTCTCTACTTCATCACATCGTAGTGGAATATGATTGGGTTCGCCACAGTTTCTACACGTTTCTTTTAAACAATCTTGATTAAAACATCGAAAGACACGTTCATTCGGGTCATCAATAACTACAAAACACACGTTATTGCACCAACTATTGAAATTATCTTGACCTACTTGTTCCGAATGTACAATATTTGCATTGCTCGAAATTTGGAATATTTGCTCGGCGTAATTCTTCTTGCTGGATCTTATTCAGCAATCGAGAAAATAACGTGGGTGACAACAATTGACCCATGAGTGATGTTGAATATTCGGAATGACATGTTGGATTTAGACATGAGAAGAAGCATGCACCGTCCGATACAAAGCCAGTTTCGACATAATTCTTTACACATGTTCTAGAGCATTTGAGTAAGAAGATATCAGAGAAAATGAAGAGAAAAACTGAATCTTACCGACAGAATTCATGGTTATTATCACACTCAATCATATCATCATCGAGTAGTTGATCATCACAACAACAATCGCATGTTTTCAATGTTCCGTTTTGTGTTGCAGATTGAATTTGTGCATCACGCAATTCTTTCTTCCGTGTTAAATATTCTTTAATAAGAAAGAAAAACTTTTAGCAAGGATAAAATATCAAACAAAAAAAAAAGAACAGAAATATAAATATCGACAAATTCCGTCTGCTATTAACTTTGTAAATCTCTGATATAATAAAGCACGTCATCTTCTTTCTCTCGTGTATAGAACATATTTGATGACCTAGTCTTTAGGATCGGACGGTCTTGACAAAGTTCAACAAAACGATTCAAAACTCGAGGCGATGGTTGTCGTGTTCGTGTCATGAGATCAATTCCTGCACTAGTAAACAACGTGGAACCAAACATTGTCGCTACCCATTGATATGGCTGATCCACAGGTGTTTCATCATCAACAAAAACAAATCCAAATTGACTCGTGAGTAATTTCATCACACCATTTCCTCGCCATTGGTAACGACTTGGCTTAGCATCAGATTGAGTATCAACTCCGCTAATACTTGTTGGCACGTAGCCAACAAAAGGTCGTTTGGTATAATACTCAACGAGATCATTGAGACGAACGCGTCCGTCGGGTAGTGTATCATGAATTGAATATGTGATTGTTGGTGTCAATTTATTTTTCCACATATTGAGATTCGTTCCGAGAATATGCCAAAGTCCCAATGCACGATAAGGATTGAACCCTGCTACACTAGCTTCATCAATTTCTTCCGACGACATGATCAAGAGTGAATTGAAGACAGTATGGGTGTATTTTTGGTCGACAAAGAAAATGGTCTATGTAGCGTTTACGCGTCACTGATGAAAGGATTGATTAGACAAAGAGAAAAAACAGAACTGACTAAACGTGTTTTTCTTTTTTTCGTTCTGTTTTTTTTTCTACAGCAAATAATATCGCAACACAAAAAGACGTCTTCTCTCTCTCCTACTCAACTGTTTCTCATGCACATCAACTTACCGATAATTTCATCTTCATGTTTAGTGTAACACAATTCCTGGAAAGATCAATACTAACATTCACAACGGAGTCAAGAGTAAAAATAACGTTACTTTGTAGAAGATTTCATCAGGAACATCGGGAATCGCAAGTACAACACGAGCTCGTTGATTAAACTGTTTTGGAGTTGCTAGAAATTGAAAAAACTAGACAATGCATACTTTCTATTCTGAAACTATTTACAATCACGAGATCTATTCCGCCGTTGGTTTGAGTTCATATTATATGTGAAGAATTCTTCTCGAAGTTGTCTCATAGATGGAGCAAAACGATAATTATTCATTTCTAAGACTTCTTTGATATGTTCACTCGAGATGCGAGCAAAAGCATTTGCTAAATAGATGTAGGAATGTTTTTTATATGCTTCGGAAACGTTTTTCGTTAGATCATAGAAATATTCCATTGGGTTCGAAAATGTCTTCAAGAATTCTTCGATTTCGAATTTGGGATGACGTAAATTTTCTTTCAAGCGTTCATTACGTATACGTTCTAATTTTTCTGTCAATTTCACATAACCGTGTTCGATCAAACTCGTTATTAATGTATTCAAATCCGGCTTATTTGATGAACTTTCCGCAAACTTCATATATGATTCTAATGCATAGTCAGGATCGATATCTGGCAGAATAGCAAGCAAACGATGGTACTCATCGGAAAGGAAATCATCATCGTCAACGGTCATGTCATCGAATGATCGTTTGCTTGTTGACGGTTGCATAGTATCGTAAGAGAGTAATTCATTAACGATATCATCGTACCAATTGGGATTGGATTCATTTTTTAAACGAACATAAACATCCTTGATATGATCACGAGGAACTGTGTTGAAAACATCGTATAGTGTTTGAAGAGTATCTTCAGTGATTGCCGGTGAAGCAGTTGCAGTGGTAGTGGTAATGGTAGTGGCTGTTGGTTCTTTCGTAGAGGCATCTTTTGTAGGATCAGTCACTTTACCAAAAGAAAGTATTTCAGTAGCGATGTCTGAACAGGCTACGTCAACTGATGCGGAACGATGAATATGCCAGCCAATAATTTCAAGAGGAACTTTGACATCAGGAAATATATCGTGCAAACGATCACGTATGGCAATGATGGATGGATGCTAAAATGATAGAGCAGAAGAGTGTATAGAGATTTGAGAAAGTAGAGAATGTAACTAAATTCGTCGTTAGTCTAAATCTGATTATCAATGGAAATGCTTTGCGGCTTTTGCGCGTATATTAAAGCATATTTTATTTGGTGAGAAAAAGTCATTTCGCTTACGATATTTGCATCCGTCATCGTAGAATAGGCTGAAGAAGTAGAGGTCGTCAGATGAGTATTATATCTACAATTCAGTATAGAAGCGACTATCCGTCGATGATGTTCCAAACATGCCGATAATTAAAGGTAAATACAATTCAGTATTGCACACCGTGTATGCAAGATCCTTTCTACAGCCAAGATCGGAAATGGTTACGACGACTAACAAATCGTCGACAGAACGCTATAAACGTGTATAAAGATGGCAGCCTGGTACAGAACTTTGCTCGAACGTTTGTCTTATCTTTTTTTTCGAATACATTTCTGCCATGGTATAAAGCAAACATGTTTCCTTTTCTAAAAAAAGAATTATACAGCGATTAAATCCTGTACTCAAAAAGCTTAAAATTGTCTGTCTGATCTATCTAATCAGAAATCAGCATTTTCAAATCCATGACAATTTATCGGTAGTCACCAGGCACTCTATGTTGATGTGGTAATCGAGGTCGAGGAACTCGAATCTGATATTAGTTACTATTTAATAATTCACTAGCATGAGTGGCCGACCGACTAGACGTTAGAGTCCCAGAGTAACCTTAAAGTACACGTCTGGAACGATATCAAACTGAAAAGATTTTTGAAAGAAAGTTCTTAAATGTTCTTCAATGAAAACATTCGACACGGTATCATTTTCCTGAAAGTATAGAAAAGAATCAATTGTTGACTGTAAAGCACAGCAAGCACTGGAAAACTACTCACGGAGAAATGGGTAATTGGTTCGTTTCATGGAAAAAGAACAATCTTTGCCTTCTGTTAACTCTAACATGCGACACAGTGCCGTGATTCGGTCGAGGGCTAGTATCAATTGCATTGTCTTATCTGCTTTTCAAAGCGTTTGAATGTGCTCAGCACTAGGACAGTTCTTTCAGAAAAGGGTCGGCGAATCCGACGGATGAGCGTTACTTGATATTTATTTATTTATCTTGAATAAGGCAGCAAACCAATTGCACAACATATCTCGCCGTATCAGATAGATTGATTTTGCTGTTGAAATCGATAGTGAACACATATGTTAGCCGATCTATTTTACATCAATCGGGTCTTCATGATCTTATTCCCTTGCCTGAAACAAGAGTCATATGAAAAAAATTGCTTGTTTGTCTATACGCCAGGGTCAGAGGTCAGATGAGTAAAGGGACCCAGAGAGAGAGCGAGGTCAAAATAATATTATTTTGAAACTGCTCAAAATTTAAAGATACTTCGTTGGGGAGCATTATTAAGGTTAGATGTGGAAGAGAATCATAAGAACGTCGATTGTGGAGTGTCGAGCGCCGAAGAAAGATTTTATCACTAGCTGAAAGGAGGGTTATGCCAAAAAATTCTTAACAGATAATGAAAATGCGCTTAGTTAGATGTAGCGGGTCGCATATCGTAAATTAAAGTTCACGAATCCACCCTCAAGAATAATTCGTAAGTTCCATACTAGGGGAATATCTTTAGGTGCTCAAGTTCTATACTACGGAGATTAGACATGTGTGAGATCAGTCCTGGTCCCGGTAACTGAGACACAAGGTAGTTGGTTTCAAAAATGTTTGACAGAGGTGTTATCATATGCCCATGTGTTGCTATTTGTTTGTGGGACGCTGCTTCAATTCAAATCCGTTTTCAATATTTTTGAAGTAGCAATACTGTCGGTTATATGTTAGATACAGACTGCTTTACAGGAGCAAGTCGTGAGTGGCGCCCCCGACCAACGATGCGCCGCTTTCGTTAATATAATTTGTCACAGAAACGACAACATTGTACCGCGTTTGGATTCTTAATTTGAATAGAATCTCATCTAATGTCACTACATCCGTGTTTCTTTTAAAAAAAGGAAGACGTACAGATACAAAGCCATAATAGCCATTTATAGCAAGCTGCTGCTTCATTTAAACATTGATTTTCAAAAAGGAACAGCAATAACAACCCTTAAAATAGCTCTCAAAACTGTGAGATGAATGAAGACCAGTATCGAAAGGTCGTTTTCAAGGGCGTATTTCGGTGTCTTTTGTGCCAAAAGAACATCAATATTATTGTGTTTTGAGTTGACTGTTCAGTCGAGGTTAATCCGAATTGGACTGGACGAGTGTCACTTATTCATAAAATTAATAAAAATCTTACACCGATTATGAAGCTTAATCGTATAAAAATAAAATTACAAACGATTCAACATATAGTTTTAGTTAATTTGACTTTGTTGATACTTGGTTTTCCATATATATTATTTGTTTTCATTTCATTTTTTACTTCTCCACCAAAATATCATTTGTGGATCATATTTTTACATAGATGTCATAGTACCATTACACCGGGTATCGATACCAGCCCGTTCTATCCGCGGGTAACCACTTTTATACTACAGAAAGAATACGACCATCATGAAGTTTGAGGAATCCGAGTGGATTTGGTGTATCCATCTTGATACCCATGCCTCTGTGTGTTAAGAACCTGACGAATGTGAGCGAATTTCGTGTATCCAGCCACCACCCTCACCCTACTTTTTTTTGTTTCATAGGAACTCGAGTTAAAGTGTTATTTATTTTTTATTTTAGTCTTCATATTAATATGGACATTAAGCGGCAAATCGATTATGTGAGCAACTAGTTTATGTTCTTCAATTGGCTGAAAACATCTGACGCGTTATTTGACTGCACATAGCAACGGTCTCTCGAAGAAAAAGTACGTGTGACACCCTGTTATAAATGTACTTTTTTCTTAACACATAAGAAAACGAATGTTTGAATTTAAAACTTTGTCAGCATTTCTGACTAATTTAATATGGACACTCAGTTACGGTAGTGAGTAGTGTATATAGAATAGATTTTTTTCATTTTCATGATAAAAACCTTCTCCATACATTTAAACGATATGAAATCAATCATCACGGTGACCTGTTTCGACGGGAAAAATGTATGCGCTAACAAAACTACGCCTTTATTTATTTCCCATTGTCTAAATACAGCCTTTCGATGCGACACACACGTATTTATAGTCGTTTATCAAACGAACGGAGAGGAAAGGCAATGTCAAATGCTTTGGGAACGATTAAGTTAAGGAACGAAAGTATTGATCCGTCAAATGCAAAAAAACCAACCGGACAAAGATCATGCGCCCGGCGCATGCAAGCAAAAATGCTAAGGACATTTTCGTACAGCTATACTTTGATACGTTACATGTATGTATAGTGAGATGTATGATCATGCTTGAATGCGTTTCTTCGCTGAGTATTTATCTGTTTTTTTTTGTGCAAGTGAGATGGTGATCAGAAAAGGATGCGTTTATTTTTCTCTCTATCGTTATTAGGTTATGAAACACGCAAAAATGGTTGAACGTCAGAAAGTTAAATATGATTTAATAGCCCTTATTTGAGAAGCAAAACATGTGAATCATCAGCTCGAGAGAGAAAGTTGAGTTTCATCCATTTTCTTTAATATATAGGGCGTGTATTCATGCGTAAAGGGCACAAAAAGCGATGTATTTAATACTGCTGGCAAGCACACACACACACACACACACATATATATATATATAAGCAGTGTAACAACAAAGTAATCTTATAGTTGTCAGTAGATTTTTTGCTATTGTTTATAGGTTAGCGTTGTCTGAAATTAGAATAGATCGAACAGTAAGTTAGTCTTTTTAGGAGATATTTTAGTGTACTGATTAGCTATAGTCGAACTACCGATATTTCGTCAATATAATTGGAAAGAATGTCATCTTGATCATTAAGTGTTATTCAAAACCGAGGAGAAATGAATAAAACGTCTCAGATGCTTTGAAGCGCCCAGTCAATAATATATTTTTCTTTTCTTATTAGACGAAGCCAGTAGTGTATACATGGAGGCTAACATAATGTTTGACACGTCTTCTGACGGACCTTTAGTGATTGTTCTTGATAATGACGATGATGAAGATTTGGATCTGATGTTGACACCACAAAGCGAACAAATGAATGTTCCACATGAGACTTCGACGAGCGGTAATAAAAAATTCGAATAATTGAAAAGATCATGTTCATCTTTTCTTCAAAGAATGCGTAAAAACCAAATCAGAATTATCCATCAAATGCTCTGCGGCAAAGCTGCACTATTTAAAGTGCCTTGATAGATCGAAAGAGAAAATCGCCAAGGCAAAAAGCATCAGACGACAACGGCGACGCGCTGAAGCGAAATTAAGAAAGAAAAACACGATTGAAGCTCAGGGTGGCAATTGTGCTTATGAATTCGATTGTACAACTGACTTAATTTTATCGTATGTTTCATTCGCGAACATTCCCAATCTATTGACTATCTCTCGTATCGGCTGTACATACTATTGCGTAGAGGATCTTTATCTGAAAGTTTTTTCCAGTTTGTGTATATTAGCAGAATTTACCGATTTACTGGTTAAACCTGGCATATGTCATCTTATCCCGATGACGTTATCAGAAAAGATATCTATCGAACGACTTTGCTCAAAATTAAAAGAGTTCAACCATACTCGTTATCGGCTGATAACCATCAATTCAACAGATTATTTAGATAAATTGAGAGAATTGTTATCGACAGAGAAGAAACACGACAGTATAGATCAACTGATTGCCGAGATGCGAGATTTCAAGAGTTCAGCAACGGCAATTCAAAAAGGTAACCATAATCAATTCCTATCAGATGAGTAACGTTGACATTTAAGATACACCACCGTCCTGTACAAAACTTCAGCCAGTCAATGATACAGTCAAAAGCCACGAACAATCGAAGGATGGCATCGAAAACCAAGGCTGTAATGAAATACAACATGAAAAGAGTTCTCCAAAATGTGATGATTCATTTCAAACTCTTTTCTGTGCAACGGATGAAGAAGTGTCAACTAAAACTGTCTCGAACGTCGTTCTCGGAACTATTTCAATGTATACCGAAATCACACGAAAGATGAGTGACAACAAAGGATGTTCACCAAAACGATCCCAGAATCTTGTGTAAGTGATTTGTAACGTAAAAGTAGCCGTATTGGAGAAATATGCCACGCGAATCATAGCGTGTTCACTTAATGGAAATGAAAGTGCGAGCAAGTCATGAATAAAAAAAGCCAGAGTGTTTTTTTTTTCATCTGAGAATGAGTTTTGAAGTTTCAATGGAGCAACTTTCTCAGAGAAACTCAGACAAAATTAGATCAATCGAGTCTGAAGGCAGTGCCTAAAATAGAATTCTCTGCAGATGGTAGATTCACAGATCTTTCGATGAAAATGGAAGCATTACTTCGAATTTATAGTTGCTATAAGGACGTCAGTTAAAACCGGAAGAACGCTTGCACTTGTTCACCCGGTTCTCTCTACTTCCCATCTGACTGAAACTTAATATTTAAAAGGTAATTTCTATATGTTCTAAGTTTGCTAATGTCTATATTTAGTTCATCAAAATATTCACTTAGCCAACAAGAACAGCTTTCACCTCCACATATTGAAAATATTACATTTAAAGAACATAGTTCTGATCTCTCCATTCCCAAACAAACGCAAGTCTCCGCTCATAGATATATTTCTTCGAAGGAGCAATCAGTCACAACTCAAACTAACGATATCGCCCTACTACAAAATCAATCAGTGACGATTGCTAAGACACCAATGAATACAAATTATGACAATGACTCAATGCCAATGATTGTTAGTGTAGAAGAGAACATCGATACGAAAAAAAATAACGGTAATATATCTATTTTCATAACATAGGTATAGAATAGGAAAGTTGTTCAGATGGATAAGTTCGTCTTGTGATAGCGCTTAACCTACTGAAATTTTATATATTGCGCACGATTTCTCATTTTAGGATTTGACACAACTCCTATTCTGTTTCAAAATGAATTACTATCCGAGTCAATATATCATTCTGATTCACATATCGTACGCTCGACGTCTCAATCACAAAGTCGTTTATCCTCATATGAAACTTCTACATATTGTAATACTCCACAGAATTCGCCACTTGCTCGAAAATTTTATTACCAAGATTTTGCTCCATCTAGTCAACCACCTGTACATTGTTCATCTTCCTGCACTTGCCAGAGAACAAATAAACGCTCGTCTCTCTCAGAGAAAGTACCATTGAAGTCACCATCGTTCATGTTCTTTTCTCCTAATGAAACCGCACCATCTCGACAACATCCCATCATGGCATGTTCAGACCACGAATCTATCAAGATAATTAGTTCTTCGAAACAGTCTACACTACCCTCCCATCGAAAACAACAACAACAATGTCGAATTCAATCCAATCCATATCCACCCGGGAATACAATCTTTGCTCCACTTTCGGCAACCTGTCGTAAATCCCATCGAAGTCATCCAATTCCTATTCATTATCCTTCAACAATGATGACTCCGCCAAATACTCCAAACGATCCATCATTGTTCACGAAGCCAGCTAGTGGTATCACTCTCACTGAAGCATTTGTTCAACATGGCTACTGTAACACGGATGAATTACCTAAGCTAGTCGTCCGATATGAGAAAATCTATTCAGATCAAGCATTAACCATCATGGGTCAACTGTTTCCAACATGGTTCAATCAACCTGACTATCGCTGTGTCCACTGCTTTACGTGCGATCAAGTTTTCACACCCCAACTATTCATGACACACATCGATGATGAACAGCTAGTGAATAAACAGCCGATAGACATAACTGCTATGCAATTGTTGCCATCCGAAAAAGCATCAAAACGCAAAATCGACCTGTAAGTCTGACGTTCACTTTCATTCATTGATTGAATTTTATTCTCTAGATGGAACCAATTTTGCTTGAGCCTAAACCTTTTCTCCAAGTAAGGAATAAGGGCATTGGATACACACTTTAGTTTGTGTTTTTTCTTAGAACTGGTCAAATCAATGGTTTCTATACAATATGAAAGTGTGTAAATAGATACAATACCTTTTCTGTGCTACTTAATATAAATATATGACAGCGGTGCGTTTTTCAAAACAATATTTTGGTGTTATACTTGTATTAAATAAAAAGTGTGAACTTGAAGATTATTGTTAAGACATACAGATATGAATCTTTCATGAAGTAGATCATCATTGGAAATCAATTCGTTTCTTCTTAGATGTACGACAAATTCTTTTCGTCTTCCGTCTTATTCACACAGGAAAACAGAATCAATGAAATATGTTAATCAGAACATGAGAAATAGATGTTGTTGTTGTCAAAGGTTAATCTTAGACATATACATCAATTCTTCAACTAACCTGATATAGAATACAAGATGGTATGCATTGTTTATCTGAGAATATTTCTATTTGTCGACTGGCAGATTCGAGAACATGAAAGGTCAAACTCTTCTGTACAGTTTTATATACTTGGAACGAATGCTTAACGAAGCAATACTGTATATTTATAGAACGTGTGTGCAAAACGAAGACTAGAAATTAATTTCTGGCGAGAAAGTTCGAACAGTTGGACAAATCACCTGGAGATGGATCATCATCTTGAAGCGTTGCGATTGTTTTTATTAGAGTTAATTTATCTTGATGCAATAAATAGATTTGTTGTTCGGTATCGGCTAGATCCTTGAAAAAAGACAAGAGAGATATTTCTCGCTAGAAAAAAAGTACAAAAGTTTACTCGATTGGCGTTCTCAAGTTTCCGTTGTAGATCATATATGATGGAATCTTTGTCGAGCAAGAGCGATTCAAGTGACCGAATACGTTCTTCAAGTTGGCGGCATTTGATCACAGATGCATCGTCACCAGTGGGCTGCTTCGAGAGACAGAGAGAGAGAAAAAGAATCAAGTTTAGCGATAAGAAAGATCAGATCATAATACTTTTTCTACTCGACGGATAATAAATTCTTGAGGTCGGAAGATCTTCGTTGTAGTTGCCGTGTTTGAATAAATATTTGATGTGGGCGACGATGTAATCATGTAAGGATCTACAGACAGACGTGCATTCGAGAAAAGCAAACGAGAATTGATTTACCAGTTCGTGGTATCGAGATGCTTTCTAAAGAAGATCTACGAAAAAAGAAAATAAATTCGGATGATCACTTAAGTGCAATTACATACTGTATTCGACCAACTGTAAAAACTGCTTTTGATGATGATAACTAAAAGATAATAAGAGCCATTATCGAAAGCAGAGTAAAAGCTTTTGAGATCATACGTTTCGATTATGGTCATATGTATCATTCGTACTCGCAGCATATGTTGAGTTGTTATCTTCTTCGTCTTCGACCTCATTTTCATTAGCCGAATCCTAAGAGTTGATCAAATGTAAAGGTTATATACAGAAAAACAAACTAATAGATATTATCGTTCCATTGTATTATTATCCGATAGACTCTAAAAACCGTTTACTATTTGAACTGTGAGAACAGTCAACAGGTCGATGAGACATTAATCTCAAAACGTACGTTCCTCTCGTTTTCTTCTTTGGAAAAGAACATGTTTACGCACCTCTGTAGATGTGCTCGCCAATGAGACTTCATCCGGTCGAATACCAGTTGATCGGCGTTTGTCTCTCAAATTCCGTTGTATTCGTCGACTTGTGCGTATCATTGATTTGTTTGTTGAAGACTGAAGGGCTATCGGTAGTATTTCGTTAGATCGATTTGACGAAATAAGGTCATGTTGAAAACGGCGATCTGCAGTTGCAGTTGATATTTCATTCGTCTTTAGAAAAGCCGAACGAGACATCTAGAATCCACGCAAAACAATACTAAAATGTACATTGAATAACATTATTTATCCTTCCAAGCTTGTCAATGTTCTGACAATAATAACAATGGTTCGATATATTCGAGAGAATGTTTGATCCATATGTGTGATGTGTTTATTTATATTCGAACTAGTTCTGTCGTTTGCGTATTTATCATAGACAAAATCAAGACATAATGTCCACATACGTCTATTATTATCGATATATTCACTGTTGATTACAATTGTTAATAGCGTGGGTAGATCAGAGAGAAAGAGAAATCTTTTTATCATTAGAGAGAATTCGAGATTAGTCATAAACGAAAAACTCTTCAAACACATTTATCGCCATAGGGGACACAATACAACTTTTTCTCTATGATAATAGATAGAGAGCTGAAAAAGTATTCTTCACATTTTTTTACATTGCTGTCATCAAAATATTCGTGATGATATAACATATGGAATTTTGTATGCAACGGTTTGTTACAGGTTTATTTTTAGATTTCTATCTGAACAAGTCTATTAAACTCTGATACCTATGTAAACATATGTAGCATCGAAATGTCATCTGCATGTTCGATTGTCGAATAGATAGCGAAGTAGTTGACATGCGATGATCTGATAAATAAGGTCGCCTTGAAAAAAGACATTTCTGCTTAATAAGATATATTCGAATATCATACGATAGAGAGCACTGATTTCACTTCGACCTTGTGGAGAGTTATGATAGCTCATCGAAAAAGTTAATTGATCACTCATATATCATCATTGAAGCGATTGATTTACGATCATTTCGAACGATATATAGACGAATATCATTTAGAAAGTGATTCGAAAATATTTGATTCTACTTTCTGCACTCAAAACTCGTTCATTCAATTACTAAATTGCTCGATGACAACTTCCAACTTCATTCCTTTAAACTTATACTACATGGAGTCACAAACAAATATTTGTTGACATAAATAATATTTATCATGCATTTTGTTTTCTCCGGAAGGTTTCTATAAATTTCTGCAATATAATATTTATTTCAATATTAAAAAAATAATCATTCATGATTTTGTGTTAATTTTTGGCAAAATAAACGGTCGTTGCGCGGCTGTTTCACGTGCTTTCTTGCGATTGGCAGCGTCTTGTTGAAGAATACCTGTATGCCGACGAAAATCTTCCTCCATTTTTTTCGTATCGTAAACGCCTTTGACATTAGCAAGACGATTGATAATGAATAGATTGTCTTGATAGATCGGAATATAACTCTTCAGAACTTTTCGGCGATGGTCGAGTGCATGTCGTTCACGTTGACGCTCTTGTTCAATATGCATAGTTGGATACGAACTTGGTTCACGAACGATTTTAGCTAACCTTTCTAATTTGATACGATTTTCATGGTAAATTCGATCGTATTCGTCTTGTTTAGCTAATTGCCGATGTTGCTGTTTCCATGCACGAACATTCATGCGGTCGGGTGGTAAATAGGAGAATGTTTTTCGTGGTGAGTTCGAACGTGTACGTTGCTTTGGTTTGGATGAAACTGGACTAAGATCTTTCGAATCACGTTGACGAGTCACGGGTGATGTCGGTCTAACAATGCTCTTTTCCGATTGTCGCGTATGTTTGGATGATATTGATGAATGTGAGTGAGAACGCGTGAGTTTCGGTGAACCTAACTGACTGTCAGGACGATTGATTTCGTTGGTTGGCGATGATTGTAATTGATTGTCATCTTTCTGCTCAGTCAAGTTGTCGGACGAACTATTTACATCCCTTCGAATATGATCCTCGTTAATTGAATCACGTTTCGAATCAATCGACATTATTTAATACAATTCTAGCGAGGAATAAAAGACTTCTTTTTCCTCGACTTCACCTCTTGTTTTTTTACCTGTTTAATACAGCTTGTCTCAATATTTGAAGTGTCTCCGCTAGCCCGTGTATGGTTATCAGAAGACAACAGAAGAATAGAAAAGAGAAAAAAGAAAAGACGAGCGATGGAAGCAGAAAAATTCTTTGTAAAATTTTAGTATACTCTGATAAGGAAGAGTAGAAGAAGATGAAGAAAAAAGAACGACATAGTAGAAAGGATGAGCGCTTGTGCGTCGTGTTTTTGACGTATGTAAAACAGAGAAAAAAGAAAGATGTTGAGTTGCTGGTATCTATGACAGCGTTTCCGCCCGTGCACATTCATTGTTTTGATTCTTTCGTTTAAAATGAAACTTGAGCTTTCTTTTTCCATTATTTGCCAACACACAATCGAAAATGAGAAACAGATGTGGTAGTCCTTCTTTTCTTTTACTACTTCTACTACTACTAGTACCAATAGTACTACTAGTACTGATAGTACTATTTCCAATGATGATGCACTCGATTACACATGAATATAAAAGACCTCGCGCGTCGTACAATGAGCAAATTTGATTTTTTTTGATATTTCGAAGGATACTTGATGGGAAGATAGACGATACACAATCGCTCTAGCAAGGCTATGGCCCTAATCGTTGATGCGATCTTTGCTCTAGCATGCTGACTAATCTATCCATGCGCTCAATTAAAAAGGGAAAAAAGGCAAGGATATCGAACATTGACGCAGAATGAAATACGTATTTGATACATATTATGACTGCATACCTGTGAGTTCAATGTCAAGTATGGTTGATTGAGCAAGATACTTTAATGACATAAAGTAGAGGTATATAACCAGACGGCTAAATCGATCAGAATACGAGTTACGCTCATTTTATTATACATATCATTGACACTTATAACCCGAATCATGGCCAACTTCGACGTTACTAAAGCAATATTCGCTCAAGCAGATACCAATAACGATGGACGGTATACTAAAAAGATAAAGTATATTCATGAGTAGTTAAATTTTGTTTAGAATCGATCGAAATGAATTTCAAAATTGGGCAAGCGGCGGTTTCACTGGTGCCTCAACAGGAGGTATAACTTCATCCACATATGAGTCGTCACTGCAAACGAATACGGCTGGCATTGATGCATCACAAGTCCTTGCTGCTAGTGGTAGTGCTGGTATAACTGGCCAATCGTCAGCTAGTGGATATGAAGCATCGTACAGTTCACACAGTGGTATTGAAACTGCTGGTGTTACACAGTTGAATGGAAATGCAACTGCATCAGCTTCATCGATTGAATTTGCTCAAGGTGGAAGTGCAGCATTAGAGTCAAGCAGTGTGCATCAAACAGCGCAATTTACATCGGCTGCTGGCCTTTTCAACGATCCAAATCCACAAATTATTCGACGAGCAGCTACTAGTGGCGCTGTTACCTATCAACAGAAAATTCTTGTTCGATTCCTTCAGCCACCAGCTGTACCACCACCAGGCGTAAGTAGAGTTTATGCATAATCGTGAGAAGTTTCTATATGCTTGAGTTTGATTATTATAGCCACTCATTATCAAAGAAGTGCGTCCACCTCAGCCCCCTCCACCACCACCTCTCGTCGTACGTCAACGCGCACCACCTGCTCCTCAGCCTCCTCCACTTATCTTGCGTGAACGTCCGCCACCAGTACCTGCAGCTGTTGCTAGCCAAACAGGTGAAAAATTCGAAAATTCTCTTAATATACCATCAGGTTGACTTTCGACTGCGTATTTAGTGGTTCGTCATTTGGCCGCAATACCTGTTCCACCGCGATCAGTTATTATTGAGCGACTTCCAGCTCTTCCACCTAGGCCACGTATGAAATGTTTACTTTCAGCATCACCCATAGTCTAGTCTCTGATTATCCTAGGCGATATTATTATTGAACGATGGGTTCCATACGGAGCTACGGCAAAACGTCGTACAATTGTTCAACGTGCTGCTGCTGCTAAAGAATATCCTAAACCACGCAATATCATTATTCAGTACGAAGCACCACAAGTTCGAATTGTTCGACAATTCGAACGACTTGGTGTCACACAGGAAAATCCTCAGGCCTACGTAGCGCGCTATGGTGCTTCACTTCTGGATGCTGGTACACTTGTTCAACAAGCTCGTGCAGCTGGTGTCGTTGAAGACATTGTAAGTAGTGGACATCATTTTTCTTCAGGAGAAACTTGATTACATATTCTCGTCTTATTCTTAGTCTCCTCCAGCAGGTGTTGCTTCTCTTTCCACACAATTCACCGCCTCAGCTTCTAGTGCAGAAGCTGGATTCAATTATTCGAGTTCATCGACCAGAGAAGCAGCAGGTTTTGGAGGACTTCAAATTGCTGGCGATGCTGGTGCTAGCGCAAGCGGTATTGAACTTGCTAGTGGTGGTGCAACTGACCTTGCTGCTACTGGCGGAAGCTATTCATCCGAATCTTTCTCGACAACGTCAGGTAGTTATGGTATCGAAGGAATTACCACTGCCAGCGTCGATCCTATTGCCGCTACTTTTGCTGCTGCCGATACTAACAAAGATGGTACATTGGATCCAAATGAATTTCGACGATTTGTACAAGGCGGTCTTTAAGAAAACGTTATAAACATTTATTTCGTCTATAATATTTTTAGAATAGAACATGTTCTTTTTTTATAAAAAAATCGCTTTTTTTCCATATATAAGAATAAATTACGTTTACAGTAGAAAGAAGAGAAAAAAGCAAAAACGGAACATTGTCATGTACAAAAAGAAAAGAAAAAATTAACCCACATTACTTACTCCACTATCAGATGAATCACGATTTCTTACATACCACGTTGGAAGTGTCGTGGAACGCGCTAGCTGAATGGCTTCAAACCAAAGATCTGTGTAGAAGTTCAAATTACTAGTGGAGTTTTTCAGTTTTTCGTCGAGCACATCACTTTTCTTATAAGTTATCTTATGGCCGACTTCAAGAGAAAACGTATGTGTCTTGGTCGTTTCTCGCAAGGTAAATGTTCGTGAGTCTTTATCTAATTGCAAATCAAGTAGATCAGATAATTTTATTGCATAATCTTCCGCTTGATCGAGTCTCGCCCCATAGACATGCAATTGATAATCTTCTTGAAGAGCAATCCAGACTGTAGCACCAGAATTATTTGTACGAAAGTCACCGAATAAAATCGTTTCATCAACCTCGCGTGTTGGTTTCGGCCAAACACTGGTATTTTTACTTAGTACTGTGCCAGTAAAATGTGTATAACATGTATCACAAACGCGCACTTCACCTTCATTTTTGCAATATTCCAAAAGTAGTTTTTTTGTTGAGCAAGAACCGCAGATGCAATGTCCACAAGATCGACAATGATGCCGACGCGACGAAATTAATATTTGCGGGAAACGATTATTACAGTTTTGACAACGAGTCACGTCGAGATCATTGATCCAAGCAGGTGCACGATCGCCGAGTTTATGTTGTTCATCTGTACGCCGACCGGATTGACGAACTGAAATCGAAAAAAAACGAAAATGTTTCCGTTTTAAGTAAGTATGAACACTGAGATAAGAGTGAAAACCTTTCGATTTTCGATAAGATTCTCAATTCTTTAGATCACATGTGTGTATATTTATATTATTAGTAGTCTACGGATCGTATGATATAACATTAAAATAGTGAAATATTAGTGCGATTTCAACGAGTTCACGAGTGGCATTAGGAAAAAAGTTCAGTAACAGATTTAAAAAACGTTCTACGATTGTGTCCGTTGGGCTACTAGATTTTAAAATCAAAACAGAATCTATCCGGAAGAGTGACTCGAATTTACCTTCAATAGTGCTATTTCGTTTCTCATATTCGTTGCTTGCTTGTCTGATTTTCTTTACCCAAGTGTCTCGATCCGATTCCTTGTCAACCAGAAATTCGTAAGATTTCTCTACTGCATTGACGCGAAACGGGTAATAAGTTATTCCAGTCATTGGTTGATCAACATTTGGCATTAATGATGTTCGTCCACCTTTCATGACATCAACTGTTATACCTTTCATGGATAATTCCCGATTAACGTCGAGTTTACGTCCAGATTCGTCTGTACAAACTAGTATACAATCGGAAAATAAGATCACGTAACGGGGAGCGATATCTGCATGTCGTCGTGGCGATTGTTTCTTCAATGGGCCATGCCAAAGAAGTTTACGATGGTCTTTAATACATTCAAATCGATTCTCTAAACGTTCTTTTAATTCATTAAATTGGACAGCAGATACCACTAATTCTTCTTCGCAACGTACAGCTATCCGATCGAGTTCATCATGGATAGATTGTGAATACCTATGTTCATCCGAATTGACATGTAAATGTTTGATATATGTCTTCAGACAGAGGATATATCTGGAATAGATGAAGATTAAGGAAAATATTCAAGTTAGGTTTGCATATCTTACCGAAGTAAACGTTGATTAGGACAATTAAGTTGAGTGATTGGATACAAATTACCCAAAAGAACTTGACATTTAAGCATCGCTTCATTAATTAAAGGCGATGTTCGACATAATTCATCTAATTTACCTTGGGTATCGTAATATGTGACGTAGTAGTGTTTATATAACACTTCAATAACTTTGAAATTCTTTTCGAAGACTGACCACATATTACCGGTTCGTTGTCCTGAAATATATTCTTCAATTTCAGGAAGAATAAGTTCATTATGAAGTTTATAAATTTGTTGGATTGTTCCAAGTAATGGTTTATATGTTGAGTTAAATTTCAAAATCGCATCATCATCTCTGTGACATGTGTTTTTAACTTCAGCCGAAAGTTTAACGGATAAAATATATAAAATATTTACGTAAGTTTTTTCTGTTGCATGCACTTCTTCTATACATTTACGAAGTTTAACTCGCTAATCGAAGAAAAAAGAAGCTTTAGATGATAAAAAGATATGAAGTAGAAAGAGCGATTTACTTGAGCATCAAATTCAGCTTCTTCGTCTGTAAATGAACTCTCCGACGATGTACGACGACTTAAATTTTGATTGGATGAAACACTGGAGTCGCCTGTTGCACTATCAGCAGGATCAAACGAGGGCATGGAATGCCAAGAATTCACTTGTGATTTAAGATACACTTCGGGACGTGGTGCAGGACGTGGTGGGGGTTGATGAGGGTTTTGAGAGGCGCTAGACGATGAGGATTTATTAGACGCCGTATTATCACTTTTATCCGTTCCCGGTAGATAAAAATGTTGATTGTTTTCGAAGTATGCACGCATCTAAGACAAAGACAGACCACCTGTTAGTTTTAGTAGACGACAGAATTACGTCTCTGTATATCAAGCTTCTCAATTAAATCTCAAACAACGGTATGAATGACGAAACTTGACCTTGGTCTTCAGCTGCTGTGAGGAATTTGAAAAAAACAACACAAATCTGTTCATCGGTAATATGTTCTATTTTTATACTATGTGATTACACTGAGAACTATTCATTTTAACGGTAGGAGCTAGCTTGATACAATTGCTTACAAAATAATCTTTTCGTCTCGTGTTTGTTACCATTTGCATCAGACCTATTCCTCTCGATGGCAAAAGAATGAAATATTAAAATAAGAAAAGAACATATTCGTTAAGGCCTTTTTCGTCATTCGTAGAGGTAGAAATCGATGTATTGATTTATGGAAATACTATCCTACTATTAAATGAACTCCAAATAATATCAAACATCAACTGAATCATCTTTTGTATGTAGTTTAATCATTGAAGTAAATATATTTACGTGTTGTACTGAATCTCGTGATTTCGTAGGATTGTCTTTTGATACGACGGAGGAATCATTGGTGTTAGGCGTTGGCGATGGTACACTGCCAGATTCTTCTATTGATGAGGAATTTGTCCTATTGTTCAGAACGTTTTTCATGCTCAATACAAGAGTTTTTTGTATTAAAGATTCTTTTGTTCCGTTTCGTGGTGGTACGGGTGGTGGTGGAGGGGATGACGATTTCGAGTTTCGAGAAACATTAAATTGGAACACTGATGATTGATTGTTTTCTAATGGTAACACTAAAAGAAATTTTCAAGGTCAATTGCACTTATAAGCTGGATGAGGAAAATAAGTTTACTGTTGTTTAGTGGTGCTGTAGGAGGCGGTGTGCGAGCATGGTGAGTTTTCTGAACAGGCGGTCCCAATAGTGTTGGAATTGACGTTCGTTTGTGCGAATTATATGGTACAGGTTTGTCTACAGGTTTCATATTTTCAAATTGTCTTCGAATTGCCTTGACATCAGGCTTTTGAGAAGGTTGTGGAGTCGTTGTGCCATCATTCGACGGTCTAAAATCATTCGCTAAAAAAGATCATGTACAAAGAATAAGCTTACTTTTCTTCGCCGTCCAGTTCATTGCTCAACGAATTGGAACGAGTTCTTTTCCATAGTGGTGTTGATGAATGTGGCATTGGGCCAGATTTACTGAAATTCTTCTCAGATGAATCTTGCCGTTTCGTATCCATCAAAAAGAGAAAAAAAGAAAAAAAAACATGTTATAATCATGATAGAAGTTACACATCAATCGGCAAATAGTTCTCCTCTTTTCTGATGAATCATCAATATGAGTATAAGCGGGATGACTCATAAGTAAAAGTCGCTAATCAATAGTAAAATTTCAATGCTAAAATTCGGAAGTGGATTAACTATACCGAAACGTGTAAAGCGAGACATATATTTTCGTGTTATCAGTCGCATGTTCGTCAAAGACTCAACTCGAGATAGTTTATCAATATTGTCGTCCTTACCACCTCCTCATCTCATTCTCATTCAAGTGGTGTATGTTAAAATAAAGGAACTCACATTATTTCTATTTTTCTTTCTATCAGGTAAGCCTGGACGAAAAAAAAACATGGAGAAAAACGAGAGACAGAATTTTATTCACTCGACAGTTTTTTTTTCCCATCATAGAAAAAAGAAAACAAGAAAAGTACATTGATTCTACATGTGTAGATGAGGATTTTTTCTCTTTGTCTCCTACTCAATGAAAAATCGAAAATGAACTTTGTTTATCTGTGGCTGATTGTTGTTGGCTGTGTTCACGTGATTGTAATTGTCGGAGATATTCGTCATAATCATGAAGTAATTGTTGATATTTATCATGAATAAATGTTGAATGATCCTGTGACGGTTTGAGTGAGTGTGATAAATATTTACTAACAAGATTTGTACCATTTGGTTTATATAGGACATGTTTAAGTAGTAATAACCCATAATACAACACGAATTCGTGTCCTTGTGCTTGTAGAACAAAAAATCGGTCTAATAGAATCCCGATATAATGTATCTGTTCAACTGATTGTCGAACGAAATAGACTAGTTGATGTAAGAATAATTTATCTGCTGCACCGCATTCCACAAGTTCATTCAAATAAGGTATTAGCTGAGTCGCTAGCCAGAACTGTTTCTGATGATAGATTTCGATGATAAAACGAAGAAATAACTGACAAGCTAGACGATTATTAATCATATATTGAACAAATTCAGTTTGTGGCAAGACGAGCTTTAGTGTGGACGATGAAGATGTATCCGTGTTCAATCGATTTTCTACTATCAATCGTATAAGAAATGGTAAGTAATGTGTCAGTAACTTGGAATCAATTGGATCATGATATGACATGGCACCATCGAGAACATCCCAACTACATAAACCCATATTGAGTAGTTTGAGTAGAAATTGTAATTCTTTGTTCGAACGTGGTAATGGGATTTCATCATCGACCTTAACAAAGAAAAAGAGAAAAAAACCGTAACTTTCGCTCTCGATTTACAGCGTGAAGACCTCACCTGCTTATGTAACGACAAAATACATGATTTCGCTAGTATTGAGACAACATTAGGATCAGCAAGGACGAATGGAATGTGTTTATTGATGATATTTGTATCTTTTGCATGTGCATCAAGAAATTGTTCGATTTCTCGTTGTTTTTTCACATCTAATTTTCTTTCTTTCAAAGCTGCATCTAATGTCCAAACAAAAATATGAATTGAATCTGATTTTGACACGCTATTATTCTCTAAATCGTGAAATGCCATTAACAGTAACAGACGCAACGATGAGTAATGCACAATTTTTGTTCGTTGATATAACTTCTGCAGACTACTTCGAACGATATCATATAATTTAACATTTGTTCCAATCATTTGTACAAGCGATTGAATTGTTGGCGAAGTTTGTCGACGTTGTTTAGGTAGTTGAAGAAAATAATTATGATCACATTGTAACAATTGTTCTTCCACATTCAATAGGTATTGTGAAATTATTGGCTGAAGTTCTTTTTGAAATAACGTATGATTATCCGTCCAAATCAAACGTTTCAATTCGATCGGAGCGCGGGAATAGATTTGTTCATGGTCAACTATGTATTTGACATATCTAAAAACGAAAAGAATTCGTTCGGAGACAAAAAAAAGAACGCCGTTGATGTTACCGATCAGGGATTTTCGGCATGTGCTTCACAATCTCCATGACGATTGGCGTCACGTGTGCTAAATTAATCACGCTGAAACTTTTCTCGAGTAAGATTTCTAGTTGTTGTTTGTCGTCACGTTGTGCTAATTCTTGTATTCGTTTGATTAGTCGCTCTTTCATGTCATCGAGAACAGCTAGATGGAAATCTAGTCGTTTAACTCCTAGTAAATCTAGTAAGGGCAGTGCCGGACGAATTTGTGCGAGAGCAATGCCGTTTTCATCTTGGATATCTTTTATTGCACGAAATGGATCCTCACAATTGGTCAAAGTTGTTTTAAGATCTTCTTTGAAATTGATATTCATCTAGAAAATATTTTCGAAAAGAAAAACCACACGACAATTGACAAAAATGGCACAATGAAAACACAAAGAGGACAAAAAAAGATTGATGTTTATGAGTTAATTTAGTAAATTACGTGTTGTTTGAATGTCCGATTCACTTTTTATCATGGACTCATGATTTTGAGCGTATAAACTAGTGTCTTTAACTCGTTCGAGAAGACGAACTAGAATAAATATAAAGAGAAATTGACCGATTGGAATTAGTCTTACCTTGCAATTCCAAAATGGCGTTTTGTCGTTTGATATCTTCGATGGTTTGTTGGTGCTGTTGATTTTTCGCTTTCGATGTGTGAATATATTCCGTAGCAGATTTGAGAACGTGTGCACGTGATGCCTAGGTTAAGAAAAACAAGCTTTCAATTGAATAAACAAATAACGTCTACTACCTTTTCACCTTTGATAAATGGAATTACATCTCGCAGATCATTGAAACTACCTTTGATGTGATCGCGTCGTTTCCGTTCTAAAGCATTATGATGTGCACGTTTTTCAGCTTGATTTTGACCATTATTAGAGATCGTAGTAGTCATTTCTACATCCTCCATAACCATATTATTATCGTTGAAATGATCGATATCAAGGTCTAACGACATATTATCTAGAAAACGTACGAATTAAGTGCATTTTCTTGTCAGCTAATGATTGATATGCGTTAGTTGAATATGGTGATTTACATCACATCTTATTCGGTTAAATCATATTTCAACTGGTAAGAGAACAAAACATCTAAACCTTGTGACTCATCGACGTTGTCTGTCAAGCGATGTACACATCTGCGAAGATCAATGCGCGACATCTATCGTGAATTTATCTCTAATACTTGACCATGAAAATTGCTTTAAAATGTTGCCATTAGATTTGAAAATTATAATCTTATGTTTTGATTGGTTCAGTTCATTTGATGAAAACAAAATCCCACATACAATAAAAGCTAACCAACAATCATCATCACATGTGGGCTATCTACCTGTCGTCTGTCTGTGTATTGTGTTTTTCTTTGCATTCGTTCTTGCACAACCTTGTTCTATTTTACTTCAGATTTTGCCAAGAAACAAACCAGTATGCTTCGAATTATTCCCAGTCATTTCATGTGGCCATGCGGATGAATCAACAACACCAAGGAAGACAAAATGGCTTTACAGCCAAGCAAAAATACAATAAAAATAATGACCAACAGCGTCATCAGTGTGCTCAACAGTCGACGCCTAAACAAGAGTTTAAGCCAGTTGCTATTTTGAAACGCGGTGATCCGTCGGGAACAACAGTGATTAATAAAGATGAAAGTCAATCCAAGGAGAACATATCCACAAATGGACAAACAACAAAGCCAGCAACTTACAGAGTATATTTCTTCTCGATTTTGCATTGAACAAATTTCTGTATTGACTATTTATCGTTTCTTTTTCCTACAGTTGGCTACACAACAGCCATCGCCACAGCCAACAGTACCGATAATTTTATCATCGGCAAAACCACAGCCGAATGTGTCTCCACAAGTTGGAAGTCCTTCAACGTCTGCGCCCGCTGCTCCTCTAGCACCTGCATTGACCCCGACCGTACTAGCTGCACCATCGTCCACGTCATCATCCACACCAGCACCAACGCCAGTTGTTCATCATCCAAGTGGACCAATAAATTTAATACGTTCGACGTCAACGTTTGCACCTCCGCCGTTAACTCAACTTCAGCAAGATCAACACATTCAATCGATTAATTCACGTCTGTTCTCGTCCACAACAGCAATGAAATCTTCATTGAAATTAGTCGATGATTCGTTAACATGGTGTGAAAATGGACAGTTGAATAATTATTTACAGGATTCGGATGGTTTTGTTGTCGTGGGCGCCATTGGCAGAGAAAAAGTTGGTAAATCAACATTACTTTCGTTACTAGGCGGAAATCAATTCATTGATGAGGATCGTCTGATGATCTTTCCAGCTGCATCATCGAATTCAGACAAAACTACCCGTGGTATTGATGTTTACATCACAAATGAACAGACAATTCTTCTGGATACTCAACCATTACTAAGTTCTCAACTACATCAGCAACAACTTCTACAATCATCGAATGACTATCATCGTTCACAGCAACAATCATCATCGGCAGCCATACCACACTTTTGGCAACAACAAACAGATCCTCGAACGATGTTCATTGATAATATCTTAGAATTACAAACGTTGGAAATCATTGCTTTCATACTAGCTGTTTGTCATGTTGTACTCATCGTCGAAGATCAATTTGCTGATCCATATCTATATCGTTTGTTACAATTAGCGGAAATTCTACGACCAGTTTTAAAACGTAATTCCAATGAGATTATCCGCACACATTCACCACACATCGTTTTTATATTGAATAAATGTAACAATTATATTTCACCCCAAGAACGTCTGTTAATCAAACGTTCATTAGTACAGATGATGATGGACACGCATTTTCGTATCTATTCATCGTTGAAACAAACCAGTAAAATCAAGATACAAACGAATTTGAAACATATCGTCTCGGATTTTAAACAACAAGAATTAAATGAAAATCTACTGATGAAATTATTACAGCAGACTAAAATCAACGAAGATATTGACGAAGTTGATAAAGTAAATAGATTTCAGTTGACATCTATCAGTAGTAAAAGCGTAAATCATACAATAGGAGAAAGTTTCTTTTTGTCTTGAAGAGTTAGGAGGTAACTTTGATTTCTTGGAACTCTTTTTCTTTCATCTATTATTTCCTTTGAGTGTGTTTGATCGGACTGAATTTATCTTTAGGAAATCGATCTAAGTAATGATCCTGATGATGACTCGGATGAGAAACGTAAGTGCAATTTCGTCTAGAGAAACGTTAACTTTGTCGTTTGATTCATAGAAATCAACTACGATCATGTCAATACGATATTTATTCCACGTCGGGATTTTCGTGATTCTCATTCATCGCACTGGCAGTCACGTTTCCTCGGCTTTTCAAATGCTGACTCGATTGTTCGACAACTTCGACAGCAACTACTGGCTATTGATCGTCCTCATATTGAACAATGTCAAACGCAACGGGCTTGGTTAACACACGCATCGCGTATATGGGATATGATAACTAAATCGAGTCAGGTGAGACTATCTTCACATGAAAAACGAACTTCACTCTGAAAGAGTATCTACTTTCTATTTAGCTGGCCGATTTTAGTCGTTTACTAACATGATATCATTGGATAAGCAATGTCCATCCACAAGGACAACTATGGTTAACGAGCAATATAAAGAATGGTAAATCTGACCGCTGACCGAGCACAATAAAATCAAAAAATGTAAAAACGGCTTGTCCGTGCCTGATGAGAAAGAAAATACTAGCGAAATCTATCATTGAAATGGCCTTCTTCGAAGATTCTACGACAAGATTCGATATACGGATAGTCTTAGTTCTTTCTTGAAATGTACGACTATTCATTCTTTTGTCATGGTCATTGATTTATTTTCTCTCTTCTTTGATATTTTTCTTCTCTCTCTCTCTTATTGTTTCATTTTGCTCTTGAGTTTTTTTCTTCTGACGAGTTTGTTTCCATATACTTTTCTTTTTTGGTTTCTCTATCAAATCATATTGAAAGGAAGAAAAAATAACATACGTTTATATACATAAAGATTAAAATAACTATATTACTTTGTATTTGTTTTCTCTCTTTTCTCCTCTTCTTTTCCTTCTTCATTCAAGTGTACACGTATTATTTACTTATTTGTTATTATTCATCATATTTGTTTTCTTTTCGGCTTTTCCCTTCTTCTACTATTCATTCGATATATCTATGCTTATGCTCGGTTTATTTGTTTGATCTAATAAAGAAATAGAAAAAAAAAGTTACGTTGAATTCGACTTGCTGATAATCAGAGCAATGATATATTGGTATTAAATGTCATCAGCGTAATATTGACTCATTCACTATATGATGCTAACATTTCCGATGTTTTTATCCTCTTCCCAGGTTTCCAATTAGCTCTTACATATGGCCTCAAACAAATGTGTCTTTAGAAAAGATTACTATCGAATGTGATGAAAAAAAAATTGAATTTCTCGCTTGAGAAAACATTTCGGATTACTCTCATCGTTGAATACAATTGACATCAAAACAATAGAAGAAGATAGTAATATATTTTGCTAAGAAATATTGTATTATTCTACTATCCATCGACACCCAGTCAATATAAACCCACTAACGAGTTATCGTTTCCTGATACATAGATAGTTTGCTTGTGCTTTATCGAATCTATAACAATATATACTCTTCGCCTACGCTGCCATTCTTTTTTTAACAAATCTCTTTTGATTGATTGCCCCTTTTGCTAACACATCAATTACACGAATCTAATCAATTCAATTATCCCTAACGAAATTAACAATTAATCGAAGTTAATTAATGTAAAGTGATCGTTAGTAGTTTGTACGAACATTCGTTGTCATTCCTTCTGTCGACATGCTGCAACGCAAGAATGAACGATTGGCTCGATGATACTCTAGTGTATGTGAAACAAGCTTGCTGTTGATGTCAATCACAAACCAAATACCAGTATGGATAATTGAAAAGAACAAGAGAAAATCTGAAGACGTATAAGCTTTATAATCGAATGAGACAAAAGCGTTTTGCTCTTTCTTATAAACACATGTCCTATACTGTTTTCGTGACCTTGTATTAACAATCATATTAGATATTGCTGGGCAAAATTTATTTGAATTTCTTTCCCTGGATGAAGTGAGTAGAAAGGAATCCAGTCGAGCTTCCGACATGACTCTGTTAAGCACGAATGAAACATGACGATAGATAACTAGTCATACATTTCACATAAATAAAATTCCACTTAATACTTGTCTATTTTCTCCTCTCGTTTCTCGTTCACAGATGCCATTTAACTGAATGATTACTTATTACAGAGTTTGGCATATCTTGTCGACCAATCGCTCGTTTTACTTTAGTGAGCAGTGGATTTTTCTTTTTATCTTGCTCTATTCTTTTCTCATCTCCCTTTCTTCCGTCTCTCTCTCTTCTTCTTCTTCTTCTTCTTCTGAAAAAATACATGCATCCATACGACGGCACGGTTGATTATTCTCTCGTCGACGTCAGAAGTTCTTCTCTCTCTCTGTCAACGCGTCGCCCCAAGTCTCACAGTAGCCTTTTGTCGTCATTATACTAGTAGAAGTCGTATTTAAACAGATCGCTTCCTTGCTGGTCGGAAATAATACATTTGTTTCGGTGGTAAATCGCGAATATTAATCATTTGAACTAACTCGATATTTATTTATTCGAACGATTAGTACTCAAGTAAAGACAGCGAAAGAAAAACACTCTTCCATTTATCATCAACTGAGAATTATCTGACGAAACGAGTAGATATATCATCTTCGTACAAACATCTCACTTTGACATCAAGCGGAAATCAAGAGAAAAAGATCTTCGACTCTTTTTCTTCTTCTATTATATGCGATATTTGTTCCATACAATTGCAGATTAATCATTTAGTATTTCTTATTGGAATCAATTAACAAACAAGTAAGTTCTCTCGATTGCCTCGAATTAGTTCGTTCTTATCTCTTCTGTTGTTTTCAAATATTGAGCGTCAGATGATAAAAAACCTAAAAGTACTTCATGATTTTTTTGTCTTTGTCTTCTTTTTCTCTTTGTTTCTTGTCTACTGTTGCTTTTTTTTCTATTTGATGTTGAAAATTGAGAAAATAGTGACATATTGCGTTCGTGATAATCACAATGTGGGGGTTGTTCAATCATACGCTCGTGCAATTGCAATTTGATCAATATTTGTTCTATCAATGCTAGCTGGGAACGTTTCCCATTGTGTAATTGTACCTCGATTTCAGTGAGAAGGTATCTATTGAAGTATACATCTCGAGATAATTACCAAGAAGTATTGTAATAAAATCAATCTTTTTCACAACAATGACAAGAGCTTGAAGAGGTGTAATATTAATCCGATTAAGTTTTTTTCTCTTATTTACTCTTGTCTTTAGTCGACGTACTCTCAGGCAAATATATGCACACATGTTCGTTTGATTGCCATCTTATCAGCAGAATTTCTATGTATGCCAGTGGCTATCAAACAAACTTGTAAATATCGACAATATATCAGGTTTTTCTTTGGACTTATTTGCCTACTACGAATAGTATTCAGCGTAAAAACATATGTGCACTCATAAATAACTAATAGATATTTTCCTAGCCTTTCAATAGCTCTTTCCAGCCTAAGGTTTCCAAGAATAGCGATAATTCGTCTGCATCCGGTCAGTTATTTCTATGGAAAGGCAAGGTGTAATGGAAGAAAACCTCCTAATGAAAATATTATCGATGCATGTGTGTGAAAAGAAAGTCAACGATAACACATGGAATAGCATATCGTTACAGGCACGTCAGAACGAGCACCAAGCAGACATCGAAAAGATTCTCAAGCGACAAATAGGATGTATCGCATAGAAAGACTGTGTATTCAATACGACAGTAGAATTAGCCGATCGAAAAAGAGACAGAACTATTAATCTTTCTCGAGTATATTGGTATAATTTTCTTCTCTTCCTCTATGTTTATTTCTCACCGATCGATGATAACAAAGAAATAATGAATATGTAGAAGTGCATCAAATGTAGTTTTGCTTTTGAATGGTGCTATTCAGCTTGATTGTTAGAAACAAGTGAGTATAATTGAATAAATCACATAAAAAAATCAATCTGTATGCATGTTTTGCGTTTGCTGCGAGTTGTATAAGTAAAAATGATAAATTCTCGAGTGAATTAGTATAGTTCGAAGAGAGAAGAAGAAAAGAAAAGAAAAGAGGATTTATGAATATCTTATCTTTACTCCAAATATATATATATGAAAATTATTCTGTTGTTTAGTGATCAAAAGCATCTTGTCATCCAATTGTCGTTTCTTTTGTACTGCTACTTCCGTTGTCGTTGTCTTCGTGTCATTATCTTACGTTCATCATGTTTAAAATCAAAAGAAAATCTCAACCACCTACAACAGCACCATCATCGAGCAGTGTTAGTCGCACAACTTTACTTGTTTCTTCCCCTTCTGCTTGCTCTACACGGCATCACCAGAAGAATGTTTCATTATCATCGTCTACCTCTGTCTCCCCACAATATAGTACCTATCAAAAAGTCTCTCGCCAACGACGCGCTGACGAAATTCTTTCGAATACACGATCCACTCGTCCCAAACAATTTCTCGGTTATTTCCGTTGTTGCTGCTATCATTTATGTTCATGTACATGTGAATGTTCTATTCCATCGAATACGCTGGCAAATGGCAATACTTCATCAACATTTACTAGACAAAATTGTGCGAGTACATCGTCGATTAGTTCCACTTACTATCGTCGTTAAAAAATTGAACATCTTTATTGATTTTCTTCTTTCCACAGACCACTTACGTGGTTGTTTGGTCGAACGATGCTTCCTCGAAAGAAAACCAAAGCAAATCTTTCTATCTAAATTGACATTATTTGTTCTTCTTCTATCATCCTTATTTCCCTTGACATTTGCTACTACATTACCACCATCATCCGCGCAAATCACAACTGTTAATCGTGATTTCTACGTCTTCGCAGGTTTCCCTCTGAATTCATCATCATTTGCGTTCTCACTTGCACGCAAACCTCAATGGCATGCAGGATGTTGTATACGTTCAAATAAAACCTTATCTGTTTGTAATGCCTCATTCAACTCCACGTTTAACGACATCCTAGCAGATAATTTCAACGACAACTTCTATTCGATCGATTTTCTCAATGACCAAAAGTTATTTTGTCAACGATATAAAACTTTTCGAAGTTTAACATCCAAACAATTAGCTGTATTCACGTACTCGATTGTCGTTATTGGCATTATCCTCAATACATTTGTTTTCCTTGTCCTAATGTGTGGTTCATTAAGACGATCAACATCATTTGCATTATTCCTAGCATTGACATGTTTTGATTTGCTAAGTCTAGCGTCAAGCTTGTTTGCTCTTCTATTTCGAACAGTCATGACGTATTTAAAAGCTTCCGCACCATTTTGTAAACTCTTTGGTATATTCTTCTTGTACTTTCGTCAATGTTCATCAACAACATTATTATTGATTGCTGTTGAACGTTGTATTGTTATCAAATATCCGTTTTGTCGACACACATTCGATCGATTTCGTCTCCCATTGCTATGTTTTATTATGTTTATATTTGTTGCACCGATTCCATTCGATTTTATTTTTTATACAAGCGGTTCACTACACTGTGAAGCATTCGATACCAATGAAGCACATTATTACCAAATCTTTCGAGGATTTTTCACCGTCTTTTCCTATGCTATGGTACCATTTGTTGGCATATCAATTAGTAATTTTTTAATCATCATGGAACTGAAGAAATCAAAAGAACGCTTCATGGCAAAAGATGAAAACGGCACCATGAGACGATTCTCGACCAAGTAAGAATCACTCTTATTTTAGCAAAAGTTTTGATAATCATCAGCGTCAAGATGAGTGTCTAGTTAGAAATTTGACATGCCTAATGAGATTGTAAGTTGATGTCATACTATCGGCATCGTCAGAAAAAGAAACTTGTCAAAGAATAGAACTTTATATAGCTCAAGGTGAGACACATCTAATGAATCGATTGACCTCGGTGAGCTCGTAAACAACATGATGAATAGATATTCGATGATTTTTCAAGATTAGGTATCGATAAGACGATTCAGATGAAATATCAATATGAATCAAATATCTGTTGATACTGCTATTACAGATGGATTAATGATTATTGCAACTGGGAAAATTCTCTATTTAAACTTTTTAGTGTTGTGGATAAACGAGGTACAACGGTGATGTTACTAGTAGCATCGTTTGCGTTCGTTCTTCTTCTCGGTCCATTCTATGTTCATTGGTGTGTCGCATATCTCTTCTACTATTATCCTCAATGTCAATTCACGCGAAATCTATATGAAAACGTTCAAGTTTGCATGGGAGTGTTCCATCCGTATCTAACTGTTATCGAAAAAGGTATGAGAGAGTCGAATCATGCAATCAATTTTCTTCTCTATTGGTCAACATCGACTCGTTTTCGATTGGATTTCAAACGCATAAGTCGTCGGTTATTTTTGCAGATCTTCGGCACATCCATCTTATTTTTATACAAACATATTTGTTTTTGTTGTACAGAACCATCATGTCTCGTGACACTTGAAAGACATGTGTCAGATACAACGGATTTAGATTCATCGTATGAATCGAATCGAAAGAACCAAACAGCTTACAAAACTTCACATTACTATTCGAACTATGAACGGCGACGTCAACATCAACTTGTTCAAGCGACACTGTTAAATAGTACGATTCCAAGTGATACAAATCTAACGCCGGCAACATCGCTACATACATTGACAGCGAATACAGCTAAGACAGTACGAATGTTAACGTGGAATCCTCACGATCCAATGATGCGTAGTTTAGAAAGTCGACGACAAGCAGCACGTTTATCTAAACAGCTTTCAACATCCGGTGCTGTCTAACATTTGATTTCGTTTGTGTTTTCTTTCTTTCTTGTTCTTCTTCTTAGTTTTCTTTGTTCATATATATTTTTGTTTGATCTTCGTGAATAATCCGCAGTATCGATGCAAACTAATCTTCGATCTCATTTTGACAGATATGTCAGTTCCAAAGAGGAAAAACTCAACGCCTCCAAATGAATCTAATTAAACCTCAACGAGGTGGTTTCGAAGTTTCTCTTAACGGGTCTTTAACGTCGTCAATAATCGTTGTTGACTGTGATTGACAAAGAGATAATTATCTTGTTGTATGTCATGAGATACATTAGTTAAAAGCAATCTTTTGCCTTCAAAACTAAATGATGCAAACAAATAACATTTACTTCTCTATTTGTCAGACGACCGAAGAAAAATAATTGAAAAAAGATTCTTTTCTTAGAATGTATTCTTATCAAATAAACAAAAACAACATTAAGACATTCTTAGTGCTTTCTTCTTTTGCTATCGATTAAAAGGTATTCAGAGTGAACATTGTTCTTGAACGTTTCTGCTATTCAATTTGATTAACAGTAAAAAAACGATCATCTAAGCATTTGATATTGAACGAAATCCTCCTAATCTATATCCAAGTAATACTGTAAAGATTTTGATGTGAATGAGTATATTCATATGCATACGGGAAATACTTGATGATCGTATGAGTTTGTCAAGTCGATTTGATGCAAAAGTGCAATTGTGAGCATCAATTCGCTCGAACGTTTTCTCAGACACATCCCAATACCTTCGAATTGTGTATAGCTCAAACATCAATGTCTATTCGACCTTTATATTCATTGACAGGATCAGACAATTTCAACACTTTCAATTGGTATTACATATCGTCTCCCAGATGTTTATCTCATTTATATACCTCTCCTTCTTCTTCGTTTTCAATGTGTACATACGGAAATAATTGTTACGCCTATCGCTTGTGAGTTTACCATCGTTGATAGACAACTAAGTTTGATAACGATTGCGTGCCAATGTCATTTTAAATCTATCTCATATGTTTCTACTTAGTCATTCGGTGAAGTATAATACGATTCGAAAACCGATGCCGATTGTTTAACGAAGTATCTGTAAATTCAATGTATTGATTGATACCCACTCGATAAATCGCTTGAGGGTTAAGTAAATAGGATGTCATAATCTATTTCGATTTCAATCTCGTTACTTACTGGCAAACCTATTATAAATCTGAATAAAAATTACTTTCACACGTTCGAAAATAACATTCAACAGATTACTATTCCACTCTATTGTGAAAGTGGATCTTTCTTTTACAGTTTCGAGCAAGTGAGACACGACCAGTGTCATCGTTCTCAACATTGAACCTACTCTAAATAGTTTATTAACTTTTGAAGGTTCTCGTCAATCAAATACAACTAATCTTCATTGTCAATGTCCATTAGGTGCTCAATACAGTTTCTTTATCCATTGATATCTGATTATAATAATGACAAACAACCATTGACATGTCCGAATGGTTGTATCGGTCGACAACAACATTGTGTACACACTTCAATCATTTATTTGAAACTTGCAAGGGTGCGCTTAGCATATTTGCCTTTGTTCGAAACATATCTTCATCTTTGACATTTTGATAACGCAAAAGATCTTCGATTATTTCAAATGAAATTATCTTTGCTCTTTTCGATCATCCAAGGAAAGAAAATGTAATAGTTATTCATATTAGTCTACCATTCATGAAAGAGAACTTGTGAGTATTGTTCTCTTCTAATTAAATTAGCCCTAGTACGCAAGAACAAATGGTAATATAATAAAGAAAAACAGTTTGCTTTTGCCAACAGCATAGTCATAACGTTCACGAGAAGAAAAATTGATCTCGGATGAAGAAAACAAGATTTCGAAGTAAAGAGCAGAAAGAAATGCCTTCGATTCTTCTTCTTCGTCTTCGTCAAGTAGAAATTGAAATCGATTGCTTTAACATATTCAAGTTAAGTATACTATAAAAAAATAATAATAATTTACATATACACATGCGACCATGACCTTAAAACGTAGATCAACAAAGCCTGGCAAGACAATTATGTCTTATCACCATATGCTTTTATTCGATGATTTTGCTTCTGAATTGTACAACACATTGTACTGAATCATATGAATGTTCTAAATTGACACTTGTCATCGGCGAATATTTCTTCGCATTTATGCTGTCAGAATCTTTCACTGTAGAGAAAGAAGGACAATGGCTGATAACGTTATTGTTGTGTATGGGTCGACGATCTCTCTCGAGTGTTGTTGAACATTGTAGATAAAATTGTCTCTGAGTCCAATTTTGGTCGCTTTCAAATCATTTGACGGACTGTTATGCATAAGAAATAAAATTTGAACATTATTTCCACTTGAAAAATGATTTTGTAGAATACGATTATAAATTTCTGTTCATCTCATAATGTTAAATCGTTGAGTTGAATAAAATAAATATTACTTCGTGATCGAATAAGCGTATTTGTTTCATAAGTATAGCTTTATGAATCATCAATTGGTTCTAATTGAACAATGGAAGTGAACGGAGAAAGACATCACGATTGAACCTGATTGTCAAACATTAAACAGAACTGATCTTATCAATTGTCACGTCAAGCCAACTTCCTCGTTTCTTTTTTTATAAGAGTGATTAGAAGCGATCGTAATCTGGCAAATCGACGTTTCTAATCGAAGATTTTCTTCAGCTAACATTGTTTTTTTTTGCATGTTCTCTTCTTTCGACATTACTCTATCGTAAAAAAAGAAAGAACGAAGACGATGATAATGTCGTTACGGAGAATGATCCTGACAGACTTTTTCATGTCAACAACAATTGTGTTAGCAGACAACGACTGGTTATTCTGACGTTTTCTCTCTCTCTCTTCTCTTTCTCTCTGCTCTAATCCAGAAAATGCAAATCAATACCCTCTACTCAAATATACAGATATTTTGTAAATGATGATAATGATGATGTATAGGAGAGAATTCTACTTAGCAACAAATGTTGAGAGTGATGATGATTTAACCTTAGTTCAGATGGGGTGCCACTTCTTTCTATTATCTGATGATAATGATGATGAAGAACGTGTGTATTGATGCATATATGTCTGGCTAATCAAGAACACATTTACGTATACTACCAATGATATGACCGATCCGATCGATACTATGACAAGTATGTAACAATTGCTTTCTCAGCCTTTCTCTCTGTTTCAAATCAACAGATGCCATTTAGATGTATGGATATACTTGCGTTCGTATGCATCCACGAGCGTGTATGTGTGTGTGATCGCTGCCACATCATTCGTTCTTTACGTTATGACAGCAGCAGTAGTAGTGATGATGGTGGCAGCAACTACAGCGGCATGCAAATAAAATTTAACGAACCTTTTATACCTCGTAACCATATATATATATGTGTGTGTGTGTGTATGTGTGTGTCGTTCTTTATATTCGTTCTCTTCTTCATCTCCTCGATGTACAAGATCATACGAATAATGATTGTAGTAGTAAAGCATTTAAAGTAAATGTGTGTGTATGTGTGCGTATGCATGTTGAACGAATAAAAGAAAGCAGATCCTTCTTTTTTTGTCTCATTTTTTTAAGAAAGAGAAGCATAGAGAACGAGAGAGAAAGAACAAAAGAGAAAGAGGCAAGTACAAGATAATGTTTCGTTTCTTATCACTTCTATTCATCCCATCTATCCTTACTGTTCTCTCTTTCTTCTTTTTCTTACAAGGAATATAACCGCGCGCGCGTACTGTTTGTATCTTATATCATCTTTGGGACAATTTAGATTACAGACAAAGTGGTAGCAGAATTAGGGATATTGTCAATTGAATTGCAGCCTTGCGCCTACTAACAACCATCGAAATAAATAATGCGAACAGCTTGTTCTCTACCATTGCATCTCATCTAGTGCGATACGGTAAACAATCTATCATGATCAATGTAATTCTAATTTTTAACAAATACTTATCATATGCTCCGTTTAATTATATCTCTATGCATACGTACAGCCATATCCATTTACATATCTCCACCCTTTTCAAGTTAATCTTCCTTTTGAATATGATGTCGTGTTTGCATCTCTTTTACTACTCATTTCTTTTTCTCTCTCTTTCTCTTTCTATTTTATATAGATTTACAACCTGTACCAATATCAGATCACCATCTAAATATCTTCGATGAATTGTCACATCGATGTAACGCTGTCATCTGCACATCGAGTTTATCGTAACAAAAAGCGCGATTAACAATAGGTATTAGGACTATTTCTTTATCATCTTGAATACCAACAATCACAATGAATGACTACGAACAACGCTTTCAACGATCACTACAGAAATTGACTGTACCTTTATGGTATACTGATACCATTCCGTTGTCGGCTATAAGCAATAGTACTAGTAAACAATCGATTATCTCAACACCGTCTATACCACCGAAACCTCATTATCGGCAAACTCAACGCACACCGGAAATAATTCATTTACAACATCCATACAATTATCGTTCGTGCCGCTCGTCGTTGGCAACATCACCATCACCATCAATTCATTCATGGCATCCAAATCATATGATTGAAGGAATGACCTTTTCTCTCTCAAAGCCTTCAACATCACGGCGACATCAAAAATATGAAAAGGGCATTGATCGTGTATCAAAATCAAGCCGTTGGTATCGACCGACCCAGTTGACAGATAATCAAACAGCAAATAGTCAAACAGGTAGATAACAAAGATATTTAATATAGACTTACAAATCACTAACGATAATGATGATCATCACTGTCACTGCCCTCGTTACTACTTGATTATAATCAGAGGAATCAAAGAAGAGAAGGGAAGGACTTGATGTTTATTTGATGCTTTTTGTATAATTGTACAAGGGCATTATGACTAACCATATGGTTTCTTCGTGAAATTGTCGATTAGCAGATTTTTATCGCCACTTGTACGCTTACTAGACGTCACTGATTGTGTCGCATATTGGCAATAGAAAAATTATCGTTTGTCTTCGTTGCTTTTCCTTTTTGCTCTCGTGTCTCGCCTTGTCTCTTCTGTACATTGATGTGTTGTCACACGAAACATAATGATCAAAAGTAAATTGAATCAAATGGAAAATTGAATTGTATATACACGGTTTAATGAACCGAGTAGAATAAATATTTCTTATCAGAGGACAAGCTTCGATTTCAGAGATTTAAATCTTAGATCAGTTTGTTTCGGAAATGTGACATTTTCAATGACAACCAACTGTGACATATGTTGTCTGCTTTTTTAACGAGTGTCTATCGTAATTCTTGTAGTAGGTCTCGTGTGATTGAGAAGACAAAATACAATGACAGCTAGACTAGTTTGTTCGCAATTGAAAGTAAAGATCAATATTCGAACGACGATAATCCTAAGGTATCGATCGACCCAGTTGACAGATAATCAAACAGCAAATAGTCAAACAGGTAGATAACAAAGATATTTCATATAGACTTACAAATCGCTAACGATAATGATGATGATCATCACTGTCACTACCCTCGTTACTACTTGATTATAATCAGAAGAGTNCGTGAATACCTATATTCATCCGAATTGACATGTAAATGTTTGATATATGTCTTCAAGCAGAGGATATATCTGAAATCGATGGAGATAGAGGAAAATATTCAAGTTAGGTTTGCATATCTTACCGAAGTAAACGTTGATTAGGACAATTAAGTTGAGTGATTGGATACAAATTACCCAAAAGAACTTGACATTTAAGCATTGCTTCATTAATTAGAGACGACGTTCGACATAATTCATCTAATTTACCTTGGGTATCGTAATATGTGACATAGTAGTGTTTATATAACACTTCAATAACTTTGAAATTCTTTTCGAAGATTGACCACATATTACCGGTTCGTTGTCCGGAAATATATTCTTCGATTTCGGGAAGAATAAGTTCGTTATGAAGTTTGTAAATTTGTTGGATTGTTCCAAGTAATGGTTTATATGTTGAGTTAAATTTCAAAATCGCATCATCATCTCTGTTACATGTATTTTTAACCTCAGCCGAAAGTTTAACGGATAAAATATATAAAATATTTACATAGGTTTTTTCTGTTGCATGAACTTCTTCTATACATTTACGAAGTTTAACTCGCTAATCAAAGAAAAAAAGAAGCTTTAGATGATAAAAAGGCATGAAGTAGAAAGAACGATTTACTTGAGCATCAAATTCAGCTTCTTCGTCTGTAAATGAACTCTCGGATGATGTACGACGACTTAAATTTTGATTGGATGAAATACTGGACTCGCCTGTTGCACTATCAGCAGGATCAAACGAGGGCATGGAATGCCAAGAATTCACTTGTGATTTAAGATACACCTCGGGACGTGGTGCAGGACGTGGCGGGGGTTCATGAGGATTTTGAGAGGCGCTAGACGATGGGGGTTTATTGGACGCCGTATTATCAGTTTTACCTGTTCCCGGTAGATAAAAATGTTGAGTGTTTTCGAAAATTGCACGTATCTAAGACAAAGACAGACCACCTGTTAGTTTTAGTAGACGACAGAATCGCGTCTCTGTATATCAAGCTTCTCAATTAAACCTCAAACAACGATATGAAGGACGAAAGTTGACCTTGGTCTTCGACTGCTGTGAGGAATTTGAAAAAAAAACACAAATCTGCTCACTGGTAACATGTTCTATTTTTATACGATGTGATTACTAAGAACTATTCATTTTAACGGTAGGAGCTAGCGTGATACAATTGCTTACAAAACAATCTTTTCGTCTCGTGTTTGTTACCATTTGCATCAGACTTATTCCTCTCGATGGCAAAAGAATGAAATATCAAAATAAGAAAAGAAAATATTCGTTAAGGCCTTTGTCGTCATTCGTAGAGGTAGAAATCGATATATTGATTGATGGCAATACTATCCTACTATTAAATGAACTCCAAATAATGTCAAACATCAACTGAATCATCTTTTGTAGATTAATCATTGAAGTAAATATATTTACGTGCTGTACTGAATCTCGTGTTTTCGTAGGATTGTCTTTTGACATGGCGGAGGAATCATTGGTATTAGGTGTTGGCGACGGTGCACTCTCGGATTCTTCTACTGACGAGGAATTTGTCCTATTGTTCAGAACGTTTTTCATGCTCAATACAAGAGTTTTTTGTATTAAAGATTCTTTTGTTCCGTTTCGTGGTGGCACGGGTGGTGGTGGAGGGGATGGCGATTTCGAATTTTGAGAAACATGAAAGTGGAACACTGATGATTGATTGTTTTCTAACGGTAACACTAAAAGAAATTTTCAAGGTCAATTGCACTTATAACCTGGACGAGGAAAATAAGTTTACTGTTGTTTAGCGGTGCTGTAGGAGGCGGTGTGCGAGCATGGTGAGTTTTCTGAACAGGCGGTCCCAGTAGTGCTGGAATTGATGTTCGTTTATGCGAATTATATGGTACAGGTTTGTCTACAGGTTTCATATTTTCAAATTGTCTTCGAATTGCCTTGACATCAGGCTTTTGAGAAGGTTGTGGAGTTGTTGTGCCATCGTTCGACGGTCTAAAATCATTCGCTAAGAAAGATCACGTGCAAAGAAAAAGCTTACTTCTCTTCGCCGTCTAGTTCATTGCTTAATGAATTGGAACGAGTTCTTTTCCACAGCGGTGTTGATGAATGTGGCCTTGGGCCAGATTTACTGAAATTCTTCTGAGACAAATCTTGCCGTTTTGTATCCATCAAAAAGAGAGAAAAAAGAAAAAAAACATGTTATAATCATGATAGAAGTTATGCATCAAGCGACAAATAGTTCTCCTTTTTTCTGATGAATCATCAATATGAGTATAAGCGGGATGACTCATAAATAAAAGTCATTGATCAATAGTAAAGTTTCAATGCTAACGTTCGGAAGTGGATTAGTTATACCGAAATGTGTAAAGCGAGACATATACTTTCGTGTTATCAGTCGCATGTTCGTCAAAGACTCAACTCGAGATAGTTTATCGATATTGTCGTCCTTACCACCTCTTCATCTCATTCTCATTCAAGTGACGAATGTTAAAATAAAGGAACTCAAGTCATTCCTATTTTTCTTTCTATCAGGTAAGCCTGGACGAAAAAAAACATGAAAAAAAACGAGAGACAGAATTTTATTCACTCGACAGTTTTTTTTCCCATCATAGAAAAAAAAAACAAGAAAAGTACATTGATTCTACATGTGTAGATAAGGGTTTTTCTCTTTGTCTTCTACTCAATGAAAAATCGAAAATGAACTTTGTTTATCTGTGGCTGATTGTTGCTGGCTGTGTTCACGTGATTGTAATTGTCGGAGATATTCGTCATAATCATGAAGTAACTGTTGATATTTATCATGAATAAATGTTGAATGATCCTGTGACGGTTTAAGTGAGTGTGATAAATATTTACTAACAAGGTTTGTACCATTTGGTTTATATAGGACATGTTTAAGTAGTAACAACCCATAATACAACACGAATTCGTGTCCTTGTGCTTGTAGAACAAAAAATCGGTCTAATAGAATCCCAATATAATGTATCTGTTCAACTGATTGTCGGACGAAATAGACTAGTTGATGCAGGAATAATTTATCTGCTGCACCGCATTCGACAAGTTCATTCAAATAAAGTATTAGCTGATTCGCTAACCAGAACTGTTTCTGATGATAGATTTCGATGATAAAACGAAGAAACAACTGACAAGCTAGGCGATTATTAATCATATATTGAACAAATTCAGTTTGTGGCAAGACGAGCTTTAGTGTGGACGATGAAGATGTATCCGTGTTCAACCGATTTTCTACTATCAATCGTATAAGAAATGGTAAGTAATGTGTCAGTAACTTGGAATCAATTGGATCGTGATATGACATGGCACCATCGAGAACATCCCAACTACATAAACCCATATTGAGTAGTTTGAGTAGGAATTGTAATTCTTTGTTCGAACGTGGTAATGGGATTTCATCATCGACCTTAACAAAGGCAAAGAGAAAAACATAGTAACTCTCTCTTTCGATTCCCACTGTGAAGACCTCACCTGTTTATGTAACGACAAAATACATGATTTCGCTAATATTGAGACAACATTGGGATCAGCAAGGACGAATGGAATGTGTTTATTGATGATATTTGTATCTTTTGCATGTGCATCAAGAAATTGTTCGATTTCTCGTTGTTTTTTCACATCTAATTTTCTTTCTTTCAAAGCTGCATCTAATGTCCAAACAAAAATATGAATTGAATCTGATTTTGACACGCTATTATTTTCTAAATCGTGAAATGCCATTAACAGTAACAGACGCAACGATGAGTAATGCACAATTTTTGTTCGTTGATATAACTTCTGCAGGCTACTGCGAACGATATCATATAATTTAACATTTGTTCCAATCATTTGTACAAGCGATTGAATTGTTGGCGAAGTTTGTCGACGTTGTTTAGGCAATTGAAGAAAATAATTATGATCACATTGTAATAATTGTTCTTCCACATTCAAGAGGTATTGTGAAATTATTGGTTGGAGTTCTTTTTGAAATAATGCATGATTATCCGTCCAAATCAAACGTTTCAGTTCGATCGGGGCGCGGGAATAGATTTGTTCATGGTCAACTATGTATTTGACATATCTAGAAACGAAGAGAATTCGTTCGGAGACAAAAAAAAAACGCCGCTGATGTTACCGATCAGGGATTTTCGGCATGTGCTTCACAATCTCCATGACGATTGGCGTCACGTGTGCTAAATTAATCACGCTGAAACTTTTCTCGAGTAAGATTTCTAGTTGTTGTTTGTCATCATGCTGTGCTAATTCTTGTATTCGCTTGATTAGTCGCTCTTTCATGTCATCGAGAACAGCTAGATGAAAATCCAGTCGTTTAACTCCTAGTAAATCTAGTAAAGGCAGTGCCGGACGAATTTGTGCGAGAGCAATGCCGTTCTCATCTTGGATATCTTTTATTGCACGAAATGGATCCTCACAATTGGTCAAAGTTGTTTTAAGGTCTTCTTTGAAATTGATATTCATCTAGAAAATATTTTCAAAAAGAAAAACCACACGACAATTGACAAAAATGGCACAATGAAAACACAAAGAGGACGAAAAAAAGATTGACGTTTATGAGTTAATTTAGTAAATTACGTGTTGTTTGAATGTCCGATTCACTTTTTACCATGGATTCATGATTTTGAGCGTATAAACTCGTGTCTTTAGCTCGTTCGAGAAGACGAACTAGAATAAATATCAAGAGAAATTGACCGACTGGAATTAGTCTTACCTTGTAATTCCAAAATGGCGTTTTGTCGTTTGATATCTTCGATGGTCTGTTGGTGCTGTTGGTTTTTTGCTTTCGATGCGTGAATATATTCCGTAGCGGATTTGAGAACGTGTGCACGTGATGCCTAGGTGAAGAAAAACAGGCTTTCAATTGAATAAACAAACAACGTCTACTACCTTTTCACCTTTGATAAATGGAATTACATCTCGTAGATCATTGAAACTACCTTTGATGTGATCGCGTCGTTTTCGTTCTAAAGCATTATGATGTGCACGTTTTTCAGCTTGATTTTGACCATTATTGGGGATCGCAGAAGTCATTTCTACATCCTCCATAACCATATTGTTATCGTTGAAATGATCGATATCAAGGTCTAAAGACATATTATCTACAAAGCGTACAGATTAAGTGCATTTTCTTGTCCGCTAATGATTGATATGCGTTAGTTGAATACGGTGATTTACATCACATCTTATTTGGTTAAGTCATATTTCAACTGGTAAGAGAACAAAACATCTAAACTTTATGACTCATCGACGTTGTCTGTCAAGCGACATACACATATGCGAAGATTAGTACGCGACATCTATCGCAAATTTATCCTCGATACTTGACCATGAAAATTGCTTCAAAATGTTGCCATTAGATTTCGAAATTATAATCTCATGTTTTGATTGGTTCAGTTCATTTGATGAAAATAAAATCCCACATACAATAAAAGCTAACCAACAATCATCATCACATGTAGCCTATCTACCTGTCGTCTGTCTGTGTATTGTGTTTTTCTTTGCATTCGTTCTTGCACAACCTTGTTCTATTTTACTTCAGATTTTGCCAAGAAACAAACCAGTATGCTTCGAATTATTCCCTGTCATTTCATGTGGCCATGCGGATGAATCAACAACACCAAGGAAGACAAAATGGCTTTTCAGCCAAGCAGAAATACAATAAAAATAATGACCAACAGCGTCATCAATATGCTCAACAACAGCAACAGTCGACGCCTAAACAAGAGTTTAAGCCAGTTGCTATTTTGAAACGCGGTGATCCGTCGGGAACAACAGTCATCAATAAAGATGAAAGCCAATCCAAGGAAAACATATCCACAAATGGACAAACAACAAAACCGGCAACTTACAGAGTATATTTCTTCTCAATTTTGCATTGAACAAATTTCTATATTGACTATTTGTCGTTTCTTCTTCCTACAGTTGGCTAGACAACAGCCATCGCCGCAGCCAACAGTACCGATAATTTTATCATCGACAAAACCACAATCGAATGTGTCTCCACAAGTTGGAAGTCCTTCAACGTCTGCGCTCGCTGCTCCTGTAGTACCTGCATCGACCCTGACCGTACTAGCTACACCATCGTCCACATCAACATCCACACCAACGCCAACGCCAGTTGTTCATCATCCAACCGGACCAATAAATTTAATAAGTTCAACGTCGACGTTTGCACCTCCGCCGTTAACTCAACTTCAACAAGATCAACACATTCAATCGATTAATTCACGTCTATTTTCGTCCACAGCGACAATGAAATCTTCATTGAAATTAGTCGATGATTCGTTAACATGGTGTGAAAATGGACAGTTGAATAATTATTTACAGGATTCGGATGGTTTTGTTGTCGTGGGCGCCATTGGCAGAGAAAAAGTCGGTAAATCAACATTACTATCGTTATTAGGCGGAAATCAATTCATTGATGAGGATCGTCTGATGATCTTTCCAGCTGCATCATCGAATTCAGACAAAACTACCCATGGTATTGATGTTTACATCACAAATGAACAGACAATTCTTCTCGATACTCAACCATTACTAAGTTCTCAACTACATCAGCAACAACTTCTGCAATCATCGAACGACTATCATCGTTCGCAGCAGCAACAATCATCAGCAGCAGCCATACCACACTTTTGGCAACAACAAACAGATCCTCGAACGATGTTTATTGATAATATCTTGGAATTACAAACGTTGGAAATCATTGCTTTCATACTAGCTGTTTGTCATGTTGTACTCATTGTCGAAGATCAATTTGCTGATCCATATCTATATCGTTTGTTACAATTAGCGGAAATTCTACGGCCAGTTTTAAAACGTAATTCCAATGAGATTATTCGCACGCATTCACCACACATCGTTTTTATATTGAACAAGTGTAACAATTATATTTCACCCCAAGAACGTCTGTTAATCAAACGTTCATTAGTACAAATGATGATGGATACGCATTTTCGTATCTATTCATCGTTGAAACAAACGAGTAAAATCAAGATACAAACCAATTTGAAACATATCGTTTCGGATTTTAAACAACAAGAATTAAACGAAAATCTACTGGTGAAATTATTACAACAGGCTAAAGTCAACGAAGATTTTGATGAAGTCGACAAAGTAAATATATTTCAGTTGACATCTATCAGTAGCAAAAGCGTAAATCGTACAATAGAAGAAAGATTCTTTTTGTCTTGAAGAGTTAGGAAGTGACTTTGATTTCTTGCAATTCTTTTTCTTTCATCTATTATTTCTTTTGAATGTGTTTGATCGGACTGAATTTGTTTTTAGGAAATCGATCTAAGTAATGATCCTGATGATGACTCGGATGAGAAACGTAAGTCCAATGTCGCCTAGAGAAACGCTGACTTTGCCGTTTGATTCATAGAAATCAACTATGATCATGTCAATACGATATTTATTCCACGTCGGGATTTCCGTGATTCCCATTCTTCGCACTGGCAGTCACGTTTCCTCGGCTTTTCAAATGCGGATTCGATTGTTCGACAACTTCGACAGCAACTACTTGCTATTGATCGTCCTCATATTGAACAATGTCAAACGCAACGGGCTTGGTTAACACACGCATCGCGTATATGGGATATGATAACTAAATCGAGTCAGGTGAGACTATCTTCACATGAAAAACGAACTTCACTCTAATAGATTATCTGCCTTTTATTTAGCTGGCTGATTTTAGTCGTTTACTAACATGATATCATTGGATAAGCACTGTCCATTCACAAGGACAACTATGGTTAACGAGCAATATAAAGAATGGTAAATCTGATCGCTGACCGAGCAAAATAATATCAAAAAATGTAAAAACGGCCTGTCCGTGCCTAATGAGAAAGAAAATACTAGCGAAATCTATCACTGAAATGGCCTCCTTCGAAGATTCTACGACAATATTCGATATACGGATAGTCTTAGTTCTTTCTTGAAATGCACGACTATTCATTCTTTTGTCATGGTCATTGGTTTATTTTCTCTGTTCTTTGATATTTTTCTTCTGTCTCTCTCTCTCTCTCCTATTGTTTCATTTTGCTCTTGAGTTTTTTCTTCTGACGAGTTTGTTTCCATAGACTTTTCTTTTTTGGTTTCTCTATCAAATCATATTGAAAGGAAGAAAAAACAACATACGTTTATATACATAAAGATTAAAATAACTATATTACTTTGTATTTGTTTTCTCTCTTTTCTCCTCTGCTTTTCCTTCTTCATTCAAGTGTACACGTATTATTTACTTATTTGTTATTATTCATCATATTTGTTTTCTTTTCGGCTTTTCCCTTTTTCTACTATTCATTCGATATATCTATGCTTATGCTCGGTTTGTTTGTTTGATCTAATAAAGAAAAAGAAAAAAAAAAGTTACGTTGAATTCGACTTGCTGATAATAAGAGCAATGATATATTGGTATTAAATGTCATCAGCGTAATATTGACTCATTCACTCTATGATCATAACATTTCCGATGTTTTTATCCTCTTCCCAGGTTTCCAATTAGCTCTTACATATGGCCTCGAACAAATGTGTCTCTAGAAAAGATTACTATCGAATGTGAAGAAAAAAAAATTGAATTTCTCGCTTGAGAAAACATTTCGAATTATTTTCATCGATGAATACGCTTGACATGAAAACAATAGGAGAAGATAGTAATATATTTTGCTAAGATATATTGTATTATTCTATTATCCATCATCGCCCAGTCGATATAAACCCACTAACGAGTTATCGTTTCCTGATACATAGATAGTTTGCTTGTGCTTTATCGAATCTATAACAATATATACTCGTCGCCCACGTCGCCATTCTTTTTTTAACAAATCTCTTTTGATTGATTGCCCCTTTTGCTAACACATCAATTACACGAATCTAATCAATTCAATTATCCCTAACGAAATTAACAATTAATCGAAGTTAATTAATGTAAAGTGATCGTTGGTAGTTTGTACGGACATTCGTTGTCATTCTTTCTGTCGACGTGGTGCAACGCGAGAATGAACGATTGGCTCGATGATACTCTAGTGTATGTGAAACAAGCTTGCTGTTGATGTCAATCACAAACCAAATACCAGCATGGATAATTGAAAAGCAGAAGAGAAAATCTGAAGACGTATAAGCTTTGTAATCGAATGAGACAAAAGCGTTTTGCTCTTTCTTATAAACACACATGTCTTATACTGTTTTCGTGACCTTGTGTTAACAATCATATTAGATATTGCTTGGCAAAATTATTTGAATTTCTTTCCCTGGATGAAGTGAGTAGAAAAGAATCCAGTCGAGCTTCCGACATGGCTATGTTAAGCACGAATGCAACATGACGAGAGATAACCAGTCATACGTTTCACATAAATAAAATTCCACTTAATACTTGTCTATTTCCTCCTCCCATTTCACGTTCACAGATGCCTTTTAACTCAATGACTACTTATTACAGAGTTTAACATATCTTGTCGACCAATCGTTCGTTTTACTTTAGTGAGCAGTGGATTTTTCTCTCTTTTTATCTTGCTCTATTCTTTTCTCATCTCCCTTTCTTCCCTCTCTCTCTCTCTTCTTCTAAAAAAATACACGCATCCATACTGCGCCACGGTTGATTATTCTCTCGTCGACGTCAGAAGTTCTTCTCTCTCTCTCTCTGTCAACGCGTCGCCCCAAGTCTCACAGTAGCCTTTTGTCGTCATTATACTAGCAGAAGTCGTATTTAAACAGATCTCTTCCTTGCTAGTCGGAAATAATACATTTGTTTCGGTGGTAAATCGCGAATATTAATCATTTCAACTAACTCGATATTTATTTATTCGAACGATTAGTAGTCAAGTAAAGACAGCGAAAGAAAAACATTCTTTCATTTATCATCAACTGAGAATTATCTGACGAAACGAGTAGATATATCATCTTCGTACAAACATCTCAGTTTGACATCAAGCGGAAATCAAGAGAAAAAGATCTTCGACTCTTTTTCTTCTTCTGTTATATGCGATATTTGTTCCATACAATTGCAGATTAATCATTTTGTATTTCTTATTGGAATCAATTAACAAACAAGTAAGTTCTCTTGATTGTCCCGAATTAGTTCATTCTTATCTCTTTTGTTGTTTTCAAATATTGAGCGTCAGATGATAAAAAGCCTAAAAGTACTTCATGATTTTTTTGTCTTTGTCTTCTTTTTCTCTTTGTTTCTTGTCTACTGTTGCTTTTTTTCTATTTGATGTTGAAAATTGAGAAAATAGTGACATATTGCGTTCGTGATAATCACAATGTGGGGGTTGTTCAATCATACGCTCGTGCAATTGCAATTTGATCAATATTTGTTCTATCAATGCTAGCTGGGAACGTTTCCCATTGTGTAATTGCACCTCGATTTCAGTGAGAAGGTATCTATTGAAGTATGCATCTCGAGATAATTACAAAGAAGTATTGCAATAAAATCAATCTTTTTCACAACAATGACAAGAGCTTGAAGAGGTGTAATATTAATCCGATTAAGTTTTTTTCTCTTATTTACTCTTGTCTTTAGTCGACGTACTCTCAGGCAAATATACGCACACATGTTCGCTTGATTGCCATCTTATCAGCAGAATTTCTATGTATGCCAGTGGCTATCAAACAAACTTGTAAATATCGACAATATATCAGGTTTTTCTTTCGACTTATTTGCTTACTACGAATAGTATTCAACGTAAAGACATATGTGCACTCATAAATAACTAATAGATATTTTCCTAGCCTTTCAATGGCTCTCTTCTGCCTAGGGTTTCCAAGAATAGTGATAATTCGTCTGCATCCGGTCAGTTATTTCTATGGAAAGGCAAGGTGTAATGGAAGAAAACCTCCTAATGAAAATATTATCGATGCATGCGTATGGAAAGAAAGTCATCGATAACACATGGAATAGTATATCGTCACAGGCACGTCAGGACGAGCACTAAGCAGACATCGAAAAGATTCTCAAGCGACAAATAGGATGTATCGCATAGAAAGACTGTATTCAATGCGACAGTAGAATTAGACGATCAAAAAAGAGACAGAACTATTAATCTTTCTCGAGTATATTGGCATAATTTTCTTCTCTTCTTCTGTGTTTATTTCTCACCGATCGATGATAACAAAGAAATAATGAATATGTAGAAGTGCATCAAATGTGTATTTGCTTTTGAATGGTGTTATTCAGATTGATTGTTGGAAACAAGTGAGTATAATTGAATAAATCACATAAAAAAATTAATCTGTATGCATGTTTTGCGTTCGCTGCGAATTGTATAAGTGAAAATGATAAATTCTCGAGTGAATTAGTATAGTTCGAAGAGAGAAGAAGAAAAGAAAAGAAGATTTATGAATATCTTATCTTTACTCCAAATATATATATATGAAAATTATTCTGTTGTTTAGTGATCAAAAGCATCTTCTCATTCAATTGTCGCTTCTTTTGTACTGCTACATCCGTTGTCGTTGCCTTCGTGTCATTATCTTACGTTCATCATGTTTAAAATCAAAAGAAAATCTCAACCACCTACAACAGCACCATCATCGAGCAGTGTTAGTCGCACAACTTTACTTGTTTCTTCGCCTTCTGCTTGCTCTACACGGCATCACCAGAAGAATGTTTCACTATCATCATCCAACTCTGTCTCACCACAATATAGTACCTATCAAAAAGTCTCTCGTCAACGACGCGCTGACGAAATTCTCTCGAATACACGATCCACTCGTCCCAAACAATTTCTCGGTTATTTCCGTTGTTGCTGCTATCATTTATGTTCATGTACATGTGAATGTTCTATTCCATCGAATACGCTGGCAAATGGCAATACTTCGTCAACATTTACTAGACAAAATTGTGCGAGTACATCGTCGATTAGTTCCACTTACTATCGTCGTTAAAAAATTGAACATCTTTATTGATTTTCTTCTATCCACAGACCACTTGCGTGGTTGTTTCGTCGAACGATGCTTCCTCGAAAGAAAACCAAAGCAAATCTTCCTATCTAAATTGACATTATTTGTTCTTCTTCTATCATCCTTATTTCCCTTGACATTTGCTACTACATTACCACCGTCATCCGCACAAATCACAACTGTTAACCGTGATTTCTATGTCTTCGCAGGTTTTCCTCTCAATTCATCATCACTTGCGTTCTCACTTGCACGCAAACCTCAATGGCATGCAGGATGTTGTATACGTTCAAATAAAACCTTATCTGTTTGTAATGCCTCATTAAACTCCACGTTTAACGATATCCTAGCAGATAACTTCAACGACAACTTCTATTCGATCGATTTTCTCAATGACCAAAAGTTATTCTGTCAACGATACAATACTTTTCGGAGTTTAACATCCAAACAATTAGCTGTATTCACGTACTCGATTGTCGTCATTGGCATTATCCTCAATACATTTGTTTTCCTTGTCCTAATGTGTGGTTCATTAAGACGATCAACATCATTTGCATTATTCCTAGCATTGACATGTTTTGATTTGCTAAGTCTAGCGTCAA